TACTAAACTTACTTGGAAGTTGAATTTGTTATATTAAAAATTCTAATAATTTTATCGATCATTTCACACAAAATGGAGATTTTAAAAAAGAAAAAAAGACTAAAATTGTTAGCTCAACTTGTACTTTTTGAAATTATAAGAAAAAATAAACAACTTCTTTTAATATTTCCCAAATATAATTTAATATTTGGCAGTATTTGCCATGCATACAATTTTAATTAAATACCCTCAACATAATGTATATAGCTTTTAATTATTGGTTTCTATAATTTTAGTTTCTTTAAAAAAAGAATTAATTTTGAACGTGACATCTTGTAAAAGAAAAGAATTTAAGACAAATTGTCATTAAAGACATATTTGCATGTTTATTGTCATATTCTAAATAATTTACTGACAATACTTGGTCATTGTAAAATAGCAAATGGAAATGAATAAACAGCTTCATAGCTACATTTGTTAAATAAAAGTTCAATTAAGTCATAAATTGTTAGCAAAGAAATCAACAAAGGATGAAATAACTCATTAATAAAAGATAACCAGGTACCTCTTGCAGAGGTAGAGATCTGAATTCTGTTGTTCTTGAGCGACCGGTGCCTTCGAGCATTGAGCTCCTGATGTCTCTGATTCATGCTGAGAAATTCTCTTTTCCGCACTTGTCCAGCTATGTTTATTAAACCGAGATTTACTTAAATTATAAACTGCCAGCACGAGAAATTAACAAAAAATAAAAATAATACATTGACAAACAAGTAAAATTTACAAAACTTACAAACTGTCAGTAAGAAAAATCAATGAAAAATGAAATAACACATTAATAAAAGATAATCTGGTACCTCTTTCCGCTGTAGAAATCTAAAATCTGTTTTTCTTGTGGAGTGGCCTTTGAGCATTGAGCTCCTGGTATCTCTGATTCACCCTGAGAATTTCCCTTTTCCTCAGCTGTCCAGCTATGTTTATTAAACCGAGATTTACTTAAATTATAAATTGTCAGCAAAAGTTAACAAAAAATGAAAATAATACATTGACAAACAAGTCAAATTCACAGAACTTAGAAACTGTCAGTAAGAGAAGTCAACGAAAAATTAAATAATATATTAATAAAAGATAATCCGATACCTCTTTCCGCTGTAGAAATCTGAAATCTGTTTTTTTTGTGATGTAGCCTTCGAGCATTGAGCTCCTGGTGTCTCTGATTCACCCTGAGAATTTCCCTTTCCTTTCCGTTTGCTCGGCTTGTGCCTCTTTTTCTTGGCCTGAATCGCTAGGACCCGCCTGTTCACGTCCGTCTTTGCACTCATACCGTCCTTTGCGCCTCGATTCGTCGGGCCGCTATCCTTTTTTTTTCCGCACTTCTCACACTTCCGTTTTCACTTCCCTCCGTAAATTTGTTCTTTCACGTTCGAATGGAGGCACTTACATCCGTTACACCTCGTTCCCGAGTCGTTTACCAACGATGTAATATGGTTTTATTATCGTCTCATTTCTACGATGTGCCGCGCACTTCGCTCGGCGGTTGTTTGAGTATGGCCGCCCCCGCCGTCACCGTGTCTCTCCGGTCTCCGTTTCAAGCAAAGCAGGTGTCGTTTTCTACAGGTCGTCGACGCCGTCCTAATCTCTAACACACTACAACCTTCTCTCCAGATCGCCCTTATACCGGTGATACGCTCGCGGATACAAGCGCCTTCCTTTCCGGCACACTCGCGATTTCCAATTTTTCTTCAGATTCTCTCCACTCGCACTGGTGCTCAATACATATGTACTCAGTACATATCCTTTTCTATGCCGTGGTAGTAGACGAAGCTCAAATTCGGCCAAAGCCTTTAAATAATAATTTTATAGCTTCTGATGCTTCTCACTGATTAGAGACTATCTACTACATTGTGTTTTTCTTATGCAGAATTCTGTTGAGTATTTGGACTTAGCTTAAAGTTTTTCCTGTAATGAATTTATGTATATTGTATTTAGGTATTTTTCAACGGAGAAAAAATATACATATGCATCTAATGAATTCTATACAGACCAATTAAAGGTGCGATGGAGTATAAAGATGATACAACTTATGTAACGCAACATCTACATCTAATGAAAACCATTTTAATGATTATGTACATAGTATGTATAGATGTACGTACATATGTATAGGATTCATTTTTCACTTTGTATTTGTAATATGTAATATATTTTTCTTTTGTAATATTAAAAAGGAGCCTATGCTTATACAAATACCCTTAAGTTGTTTTTATGTATTAGTTGAAGTTTTTACAAAATTTACTTTTTAATTCTAAAATCCCTTTTCAGATGGTAGTACTGTTGAGGTATATCGTAAAACTGACTGACATGCTATACTATACTTTATGTATTTCTGGTTATAACCAAAAAATATTTTTGTGGGTGACGTTTAGTCATAGCAATCTTTTAAGCTTGTTCAACGCATAACAACTTAATTATCCCTTATTTAATGTCTGTATATTTCACATACTACGTTCGACAAATACTGATACAATGGAAACAATATTCCATGAAAAGGTAAATAATGATATGCGCAGTAAAAAGATTAACAGTCTTTCCGTGTCTATACCATATTAATGAGTAAATGTATTGCAGCAAGAAGGCTATTTATGCGCACAACATTGCTTAAACGCACTTTTACAAGGACCATATTTTAATGCAGTAGATCTTGCCAGTTTTGGTCACGAATTGGATAAAGAGGAAAGAATGAGAATGGCAGAGTCAGGTGTTGACAGTGAAGATTATAGGCTCTTTTTAGAGGTATATATTTCTATTGCATCATATTTCTTTGCAGTAGTATATATCTGACTCATTTAATTTATGCTAAACTCATCTAAGTGTACAAAAATACCCAATTAGGCTTCAATAGTTATAACAATACACATTTGATGAAAAACAAACAATCAGATATTAATTAAACAAACAGTGTTTCTGCAAGTAAGAAATGAATTAAGTGTACTATCTATATTAAATATTAATTGACTCTTAAAATTTCTATAAAATATTAGAAAAAAAGTTTTATTAAATAATAATAATTGTTTTGTTTAGCAACCATCAGGGAATATGGATGATAGTGGATACTTTTCAGTTCAAGTTATTAGCAGAGCATTGAAAGTTTTGGAGTTAGAGCTAGTCCCATATAATAGTACTGAATCAGCAGCTTTAATGGCACGGAAAGATCCTTCGTAGGTTATTATTCATTTCTTCATATCTTCATTTTTCATGTATTTTATAATAAAGCACAATATTATTAGAGATTCACTTCTATACATAGATCTTAAAATTTGTATTCATTATCATTTTTCACATATTAATTCATATTCTACATGAGTATATAATAATAAATGACATCATTTTTCAGACAGATGAAAGCATATATTTGTAACTATAAAGGACATTGGTTTACTATAAGAAAAATTGGAAAACAATGGTTTAATTTGAATTCTATGCTAAGTGGACCACAACTCATATCAGATACCTATCTTGCAATGTATTTAACTCAGTTAATACAAGACGGTAAGTGTAATCACATTGAAATTGTATAACTCATAATAATAAAGTTACATTAAATCATAATGTACCTTTCAATAGGTTATTCTATTTTTATCATTATTGGTACACTTCCTCAATGTGCTGCAGACGATGTTCTTATGAAAAATCCAGTAGTAGTTGCACCAAAAATAAAAACACCTTTAAAAACAGACTCAAAAGGTTATCGTCTGGGTGTTAGAGAAGAAGACGAACTGTTAAAAACTGCACTTGCATGGGGAGAAGTGAAAATACCAAATACTTCTAATATATTGAGAATTCCAAGTACTACAGATTCAACTATATATAACAAACCATCAACATCTAAGGAAGAAGTGTCAGAGAATAAACCACGAGAAAGGATAATTCCTATAAAAGTCGAAGGTAGAGAAGAAAATGACGACGATGATAATACAGAGTTACAAAGGGCATTGCAATTAAGTTTAGAAAATACTAAGAAGGATGATATTGATGAATCTGTTAAATTGAGATTAGATCTTCACAATGATAATAAAGCAACTCATACATTAAACATAACTGATGACACAGACGAAGACGATGATTTACGAAGAGCTCTTCAACTAAGCTTAGAATGTGTCACCGCTCCACCAACACCAGATCCAGAAGATTTGCGTTGGCGTCGATTAAATTATTTTGGTGTATATTCAAGGTCATCTAGTGCAGAAACATCCCAAAAATTAAACACTTAATAATATGTGCAAATTTTGTTTAATGTTATCATTATTATTATTATTATTATTATTATTATTATTCTATTACTATCACTATCATTATTATTATTAAAGCAAATTTTATTTGTAAATTATAAATAACTAATTACTTTGTATACTATCAACAATAAAGACCTGGAAAATGAATGTAAAAATAAAGATCATGTGTATGTTGAAACTACAAGCTTCTTGTTTATTACATTACTAATGTTTATCACTTTACTAACACAATTATCTTAATTTTTAAAAACACTAGTTTGCTTTCAGAACTTATTAAAGAAATTATCTTCGATTTTAATTATTTCGAATGAACATTATAATAATTCTTCAAATATACTCGACATTATTGGTTCCAGATTTTACGTATGTATACGAAAACACATTTCTCCTTTTATTTTCGTGTGTATTTTAATTTAGGTTTTTTCAAAATTTATTATATTTTTATTAGTCTTTCGCGCGCGTAACATAAAAAGCGAACATTATAATTCTTTTCGTTGTAATATTATCAGAAATTTATGAATCAAGATTTTAACTGTAGCTGTTCTGTGGTTGCTCCTGTTTTGTATGTGAATGCTGAATGTTGACATTCAACATGGCGGCATGTCGTCAGTGCTGTGCTGTGTCGTGGTGAGTTTTATAAAACTTTCTAAAGCTGTTTGATTACGAGCTTTATAACGAAACAATTAGATTTTGCAGGATTATTCATTCTTTATCAAGAATTTGCATATTCTATAAGCATTTTGAGGTCTGATAAATTTTTACGATATCTGTAGAAATGAGCGACTTCATAAAAAAATCAGAATCTCATAACTGGCAAGCACGTATAATATTTCGAAGTTTTGTTTTCTTTTCTCCTGGAAATGTGCCTGATCGACTCAAATTTCAGACGAACTATTAAAAAATTAGTAGAGTGATACATATTTAGTTATATTCTGAATATACTTACGATACCTATACCGTTACATATATTTCAAACATTTTCATGTGGGTGTTCAAGTAATCTATCTGACTTGTAGTAAAGTTCGAGTATTATGATTTAAATCATGAACCGACGACAATAATGCCTTCATTGGTTCTTCGACATTGGTAAACAAGATTTCAAACACGAATAAAATATAGAGAAATAAGTAAAAAACATTTAGAAAACACCACCAGTTAGATCATAAAAAGTCAATGTCAAATTGATACTCAATTATTGTGAATATCTTGTTTATCTTACATAAAACTACAAGTAGAATATAATAAATATGTTGTGAATTATTTTATATGCATAAGCATTCATACCAATGTAAAGCGTAAAATACACAATAACCTATAAGTACACCTGTGAAAATACCAATAGTGAAAATTATTTTTTGCTTAGCCTATTATGTATGGTCAAAGTGCAAATTATATATTAATGACATATAAGAAAATACGAATGAATATATTTATAAAATGTTGTATAAATAATATACATTATTTTTAAATAGAACGATTCAAGAAATAACTAATTACATTTGTCATGNTACATTTGTCATGTAATTAGATGAATCAGTTACAAAATGTAACTATAAATGATAAATTATTGCAGGTATTTTCTCTATTGAAAGATAATCATTACTTTCTCAAAAGATTATTTTAATTTATTAAAACTTGTTGTTGAAAAGCTCGTGATCATTATATTTACATATATATAATATATTTACAATAATTTCTAGGCTATTCTAAAATAAATATATTTCTCTTTTAATTTCAGCTTGTGTAATTGTTAGTTTAGGACATTTTTGAAACCAAGGCTCACTGTAAATTTCACAATTAAATGCTGAAGAAAGAAACGCTAATATAGAAATATCGGAACAACACAATCACACTCAGCACGCATTGAAGACATCTGAGGATTTTCAAGTCAACATTTATCCTTTAAATCTCCTATGTTTTTTTATTTACTCCTTTTATAAAGGATGACTGCTGTTTGAAAGGAAACACGGTTATTCTAACATATGCTAAATTGAGTAAATATCAAACAGTTGTTATAACACTCGTGCATACATATGTGGAAAGTATCAATGGTCTATGATGTGCTAAGAATTTTGTACTTGTATTAATTCGTAAACCAACATTAACTATATTGTTCATTTATATATTGTGTACACAAGCTTTGTGAGAAAGAGTTAGGTAAGCCATAAAGTGACCGTAATTGTGATTGCGGCTGAGATTGTGCTGCTTTTGGTTAATAAAACACTTGTATTTATATTTAAAAAGAGTGCCAATATCGCACAGAGTTGTCGAGGTACTCGCAGATAAATAATTTATGATATACGTCAAAATACGTTCAAATCCTTCCTTCCACTTCTTGGTCACAAAGGAGCCTGCATTTGTGCAGCATTTTAAAGAGCCTCTCTTCCTCTGTATTAAGTTCTTGTAACATTATAATAGTGAACAAAGATATAAGGTACCAAGAACCGTTCTGTGATATCTATGTTAACACTTAAATAATTGAAAAGACTAAAAATTTCTAAATATAAGTATATATATATTGTGGTGAAACGGAAGTGAACATAAAAAAGAAATTAAGTAATTGTTTCAAGAAAAGAGGAATTCTTATATGTGAAGATTATACTTAAAGTTGTGCGAATTTGAAACAATGTCCAACAATCCTCAGTGGAAAACGTTCCAGCCGCCAATCATGAACTCTGACCCTGCAATACTTGATTATAAGTCTGTGGCTATACCTAGTCCCAAAGTTATAATGGGATCGCATCAAACAGCAACTAATATCTACAGAAATGGTACCAACTATGGTAGTGACCATTATATGACGGATTCGACTAATACGCAAAAATCGCGTAAAGAACTTTCTAGTTTTCCTTTCGGAACATTTACCGGAATGGAAGGAAATGCTGGTTATACAGAAGACCCATCAACAAATAATTCCACTTATCAAGATCAATCTGCTAACCAAGGACCACGAGAAACAGGAATAATTGAAAAATTATTAGTAAGAATTTTATTATCATGATCACTTTCACAGTAATTTACTTTTTAAGTTATGCATAACATTTTTATTTTTTTGTCGTAGCATTCTTATGGTTTTATACAGTNTACATTTGTCATGTAATTAGATGAATCAGTTACAAAATGTAACTATAAATGATAAATTATTGCAGGTATTTTCTCTATTGAAAGATAATCATTACTTTCTCAAAAGATTATTTTAATTTATTAAAACTTGTTGTTGAAAAGCTCGTGATCATTATATTTACATATATATAATATATTTACAATAATTTCTAGGCTATTCTAAAATAAATATATTTCTCTTTTAATTTCAGCTTGTGTAATTGTTAGTTTAGGACATTTTTGAAACCAAGGCTCACTGTAAATTTCACAATTAAATGCTGAAGAAAGAAACGCTAATATAGAAATATCGGAACAACACAATCACACTCAGCACGCATTGAAGACATCTGAGGATTTTCAAGTCAACATTTATCCTTTAAATCTCCTATGTTTTTTTATTTACTCCTTTTATAAAGGATGACTGCTGTTTGAAAGGAAACACGGTTATTCTAACATATGCTAAATTGAGTAAATATCAAACAGTTGTTATAACACTCGTGCATACATATGTGGAAAGTATCAATGGTCTATGATGTGCTAAGAATTTTGTACTTGTATTAATTCGTAAACCAACATTAACTATATTGTTCATTTATATATTGTGTACACAAGCTTTGTGAGAAAGAGTTAGGTAAGCCATAAAGTGACCGTAATTGTGATTGCGGCTGAGATTGTGCTGCTTTTGGTTAATAAAACACTTGTATTTATATTTAAAAAGAGTGCCAATATCGCACAGAGTTGTCGAGGTACTCGCAGATAAATAATTTATGATATACGTCAAAATACGTTCAAATCCTTCCTTCCACTTCTTGGTCACAAAGGAGCCTGCATTTGTGCAGCATTTTAAAGAGCCTCTCTTCCTCTGTATTAAGTTCTTGTAACATTATAATAGTGAACAAAGATATAAGGTACCAAGAACCGTTCTGTGATATCTATGTTAACACTTAAATAATTGAAAAGACTAAAAATTTCTAAATATAAGTATATATATATTGTGGTGAAACGGAAGTGAACATAAAAAAGAAATTAAGTAATTGTTTCAAGAAAAGAGGAATTCTTATATGTGAAGATTATACTTAAAGTTGTGCGAATTTGAAACAATGTCCAACAATCCTCAGTGGAAAACGTTCCAGCCGCCAATCATGAACTCTGACCCTGCAATACTTGATTATAAGTCTGTGGCTATACCTAGTCCCAAAGTTATAATGGGATCGCATCAAACAGCAACTAATATCTACAGAAATGGTACCAACTATGGTAGTGACCATTATATGACGGATTCGACTAATACGCAAAAATCGCGTAAAGAACTTTCTAGTTTTCCTTTCGGAACATTTACCGGAATGGAAGGAAATGCTGGTTATACAGAAGACCCATCAACAAATAATTCCACTTATCAAGATCAATCTGCTAACCAAGGACCACGAGAAACAGGAATAATTGAAAAATTATTAGTAAGAATTTTATTATCATGATCACTTTCACAGTAATTTACTTTTTAAGTTATGCATAACATTTTTATTTTTTTGTCGTAGCATTCTTATGGTTTTATACAGTGCTGTGAAAGACAAGCAAGATTGTTCTTTCATTTTAGCCAATTTAGCGGTAACATAGAACATTTAAGAATTGGAGATCCAGTTGAATTTGAAATGACTTATGACCGACGAACAGGAAAACCTATTGCTAGTACAGTCAGTAAGATTTCTCCGGAGGTGGTTAGTATGACATATGTATAATTTTCATATTTTTGACAAAAATACTTTAAAATACATGTACAAATTTGTAAAACTCTGTATGATGTAGGTGCTAAGCGAAGAACGAGTTACTGGGCTCGTAACTACATCAGTATACACGAGTAGTGACACAGGGCGTATTAGTTACGAAAACAGAGGAGAATGTTTTTTTTTGCCATATACAAAAGATGACGTAGAAGGAAATGTTACTTTGGCTACTGGTGACAGAGTGTCATTTCAAATTGCTACTAATCAACGGTAAATTGTCTATATGTTTTGTTGCGTTTATTAATACACAGATGTACAAAATTAATACAAAGGTTTGAAATTAATTACAGTGGAAATTTGGGTGCATGTCATGTAAGATTGGAAAATCCAGCACATCCAGTTCGCTATCGTGGAGTAGTATGCTCGATGAAAGAAAACTTTGGCTTTATTGAACGTGCTGATGTAGTTAAAGAGATTTTCTTCCACTTTAGTGAAGCTAAATCTATGAAAGAAGAACTTAGATTAGGAGATGATGTTGAATTTATAATACAAACTCGAAATGTAAGACAACATATTTAATTTATATAAAAATTCAGCGTTACTTACTTTATATAAATTATATTGTCACTATTTTTCAGGGAAAAGAAGTAGCTTGTAATATTACTAAGTTACCACCTGGTTCTATAGTATTTGAAAAAGTCTGCAATGATGTAGTAAAGGGACAGGTATTAAAGCCTTTAGAAAGAGGCACTGCTGCTCGTCATCAAAATGATCCATTACCTGGAAGAATTCGTTATAGAGATGCCCGTCATTGTGAAGTCGAAATTCCGTTTGGAGATAAAGATCAAAAAGGAGATTTTACTCTTAGGTATAGACAACTATAGATATTCGAAGTTGTACATATGAATTATCAGTTTATACTATTTTCTTTTTTTTTCAACATAATTACGTGTTTCCTTTTTCTTAGACATGGGGACTGGGTCCAATTTCGTATTGCTACGGATACTAGAGATCAACTCAAAAGAGCTACTGAAATATTGTTGTTACCTGAATCTTTTACTGTATCCGGTGAAAGACGAGAACAAGGCATTATTGCTGCTCTCAAAGATGGGTTTGGTTTCATTCGTTGTGCAGATCGAGAGTTAGCGCGTTTATTTTTTCATTTCAATGAGGTTCTTGATGTTGATAGAGAAATTAGTGTAGGAGATGAAGTTGAGTTTACAGTTATTCAAGTGAGTATATTTAAAAAAAAAATAGCACACGGTTACACAGTACTTTTATGTTATTTTTATGTTAATATTTATTATTGTTAATTTTTATAAAAGGATCCTTCTTCATCATTTTCGAGTAATCGACAAAGTGCAATTAGGTTGAAACATCTACCAGCTGGTACAGTTCAATTTGAAACAATCATAGAAAAAGATTTGGTGGGTACTATAATTCAAGGTGTAAGCGGTTTGTTACCTGGTCTCATTGGATACGTGAAGGAAAATCAACATAAGAGTGTTATTTTCTTCATTAAAGATTGTGATCCAAAAAATATTCCGAAAGTAGATGAAAAGGTATATTACCTTTTTCACAACACGAAAGTGTTCTTAAATATATCATTGTCTACATCACGATCATCGTTTTAGGTTCAATTTAGTATTTGTCAAGTAAAACGAAATAAAGAACTTGTTGCTGTTGACATATCTCTAGTGAATTCTTTTGGTGAGAAGACTCCAAATGGTAACAAAAAGTTAAATGGTCAAATTTGTCAGGGCTTTATTGCTGCTCTCAAAGATGGATTTGGTTTTATTGAGACTGTGAATCACGATAAAGAAATATTTTTTCACTTCAGGTAAAGATATTTATATAAATCAATTGACTGTTACTAAATAATCGTAATATAAAAAATACCCATATTTTTTAGCAATTTTGAAGGAGACGCTAGTACATTGGAAGTAGGAGCTGATATTGAATGTATAATCAGTTCTGGAAATGGTAGAGGAAACGGTGGTTGTGTTGCCGCGGATTATGTTAAATTAGTACCTCGTGGAAGCATTCCTAGGCCAATACCAGTTAGCGAAGTGCTTGATGGAACGGTCGTGAGACCATTACGAAGTGCAAATCCTGATCAGGCAGAGTATGCTGGTTTGATAAAGATAAACGCTACTAACGAAGACGAAGACACACCAGAATACGAGTTTAGAATTATGGGATTGGTTAATAAACGCGAGCTACTGCAGGCTGGTGACCCTGTTCAATTACAGGTTGATTCAGCAGGGCATGCTTGTAATATTGTAGCGGTTAGAAAAAAGAGAAGAGCAACAGTGGATGCAGTGAAAGGTCTTTTCGGTTTTCTTGCCTATGAAGTTGATGAGGGTAAGAAATTATTCTTTCACATGAGTGAAGTTCGAGACCATGCGATACTTCAACCAGGAGACCCGGTTGAATTTGTTTTGATTACGAATCAACGTACTGGTAAATCGTCTGCATGCAATGTAACACGAATAAGGTAAAATATTAATTTTCACAGAAATTCTATTTTTATATTTGAAAGAATAGTATAAATTAATTTGTGAATATATTTTGTATATTTTTATTGTACAGCGATTCAGTCCAACAACGACCCGAACGTTTGATCAGCCGATTGCGGACTACATCTATGGAAGACACAGGTCCTAAATTAACGGTAGTTAGGCAACCAAGGGGGCCAGACGGTACGCGTGGATTTAGTCAAGAAAGATCCCAGCATACCCCTGGTGCCATTCAAGAGTAATGTTGTATCGAAACGGTTACTGCTTATCCAAATTGTAATCTACATTACTTGTTTTTAGTCCATACACTTCGGTACCGAGATTATTATTATCATAAGCATGATCGTAAACATTTGCCAAATTGAGACTAATGTGACAACAATAATAATATTGATAATAATCAATTGGATTATGAACTTGTTGAGAAAAGAAAAGAATATAAAATAAAAAAATACAACGAGTCATTTTATCATCTTATAAAATATAAAAATGATTAGGGAGGTGATTTGTCTGAACTATTTAACTTAACTAAAAAATCTACCGGAAATCATATTTTCTTTGCAACACCACATAATAGTTCTGCTGAGAATTCTAAACAAGTGTTGTAGAATATTCAAGAACTTTTAAATTGCTACTCCCTATGAAAATTTTACGAACATTTCCTTCCTTTGGTTTATCATAACTAAAAACATAGATTGAAAAATAATTTAATATTGAACCGTTGACAACCTGCCCATTGATAATATTCAAAGATAATGTCTCGTCTGATTTTATAAAAATATACGTACATGTTGATACAACATTTATTTATATCATTTTCTTTAGAATATTTGTTTTACCTATAATGTACACTACAATCAGTTTAAAATGTACAATAGACGAAACTGAAGTCACATGCAAATTCATCATATATATAAAATACTGATTGGCTATATAATCAAAAAGGAAGAAGAAAATGTATCCGCATCACTTGCTGAAACTTGCGAATTGAAATCATTTTATAGTGGAAGGAGGAGACTTATATTTCATTGTATGAATCATTGTAACGTGTAACTCTGTTGAAAAAAGAGAATATCAATGAATTTGTAAAAGAAGTTAACAACTGGCCAATTGTTTGTCCTAGATAATATATAATATATAAATATATGTACATGCAGTTAAGTTCCTGATACAGTCTCGTGTTGTAAAATCAAACTAGTATTACGAATTCAGTCGATTCATACTACAAAAATAAAAAAAACTACAAAACAGTACTTATACGAAGAGTAACAGAATCGATTTTTACAAGTTTTGCCATCAGAAACAGCAAGTGAGGTACACGTGGCATTATGTAGAAATAGATGAAAGGAATACAAATAAGAACAAAGTGCGTAACAAGCACGATACAAACTAAGCGTTTGTTTGACAACTCATGGATCCAACACATCATGTGCATACATATTGTAAAATTATTGATGAATAAACAGTGAAAATGTCAAACCTCTCTTCTTTGTCTTAAAATACGAAATAGTTTAGTAACTGTGTTTCTTTAAAACAATATTCACTGTAGTAAATAAGTGTTTTCGACTTTTGCCATATTTCTATATTGACAATTTGTAATAAATATTTATAAATAATAATGTGCAAAAATATTATGATATATACAATATGTATTTATTATGTATGTACAAAGATGTGGAAATTGTTACAAAACGTGTTCATTTTTTTGTATTTAATAACATGTATTTGATTTTTAGTAGGTAAGAATAAGAAGCATTGTAGATTAGATTACAACACATTCGTAGGGGAACGGCCCTCGGAGACGTAAATGATTCAGTCCTGGACAAGCTGGAAAAAGACATAATCATCTGATTAAATAGAACTTTTTAAATCTCTTATTATTATATATAGTGTGTAAATTTTTATTTTAATATTTAACATTAGGTAATACGTTATTCATACTATTAGCTAGTTGATAATGTATTTATGATTACATTTGGAATTGAATGTAATCAAATATAATAAGGCTGCAATGTATAAATGTAATCAACCTTAACCGGTAACGTTTACACGTTACTAAACGTTATATACTAACGTTTGTCACAGAGTGGCCCATAATAACCGGTTCCTTCGCAGCGACATTTAAATCCAGGATCTGACGATATTTGTATGCAAGATCCCTCGTTCAAGCAAGGTTTTAATCTGTAGCACGTATCACTACGCTTGCCTGAAAAAAAAATTATACAATAATAACTGTAACTATACGTTCTTGACATTTATATGAGAGTACAACAAAATAGACTAAAATTTCCTGTTAACGTTGATGAATCTAGCAAGTATTTCATTACCTCTTAATGCTTCTTTACAGTCCTCATTATTATTATATCTGTATTCGGAAGAACAGCCATAACCGCATCTGCATTGTGCGTTATAAATTCGACATCCATACTGCATCTGGTCCAAATCGCAAGCGCGCGATCGTGTGCTTATTGCTATAATTAAAAAATAATTATAGAATTAAAAGCGCTTGAGGCGCTAAAATCAATTTTTTAATTTTTAATTTTGATCGCCTAAAAATGTATAAAACGTCCCACGCTATCAGTTATCTGTAGAAATTTACAAAACAACAATTATTTTCTCTTCAAAAAAGATTCCTTTCTTAAATAATAATTAAATAACTATTTAATTCATTCTTTATTTTCTTTTATTTTTCGCCGATAATGCTCTATTTTATTTAATAATTGAAATATATCGAATTATATTTTTCCTATATTCGTCACTAAAGCAGTTACATATACATACTTCTTTACTTCTCTACATATCAAATCATAGTTGATGTTATGGAGCACCGTCCCTACGGACACATGATAAATTAAATAAAATCTACTAAAGTAATATTAAACATGTAAAAGATATCTAAGCAACAAATTACGGACACAAGTTTCCTGTGAAGCTTTCCAAAGCGAATATTTCATATGCATTGAACGTATCTGCAGCTTATTTACCCTATAGAGATAGTGCTACGAAGAAATATGCTGACAACTATTTGTACCGGATGTAGGTATCCATTGCACTTCTCACTTGCGTAAATTGATAAAGGTTAAAGAAGATAAAACATGGCTGCGTGGGTAAATTGATTTTTTAAGTATTAAATGTTTATCATTGTCATCATCCATATTCCTGCATAATAAAAGCAGTAGGAGGGAACATGGAATGAGTATCATTGAAACTACGCTTTATTATCGTACTGCATTATCTGTGTCCCCGGTGAATGAACCGAGATCTTTCTTTCAAAAGAACGCTCAAGCCTTATTTTACACTAAACGAATTATCTACTGAAGAAAAAAGGTAGTAGTCAAGAATCGTTGCATGTAAAGAAATATAATAAATTATTCTTCCTTTTAATTTAGCCTAATGCTGTAAAAATTCTTGAACGAAATATTTTATAACAATTCGAATATGTATTATGCTGATAGAAGACTATTAAAATCGTCACTTTTGACTCAGCAGTTTGAAATGTCTATTCAGATTTATGAAAAGCTTTTTTTACTGTTTTGAGGATTCGTTATATGTATTCTTATGAATTTTTGTTCATCTAATCTCCTTCCAGCCTAAAGAACTTACAAAACCTTCGTTTTCGATAACTAAGTGATTTGGTAAGAAGTTATAGTGACATAGTATACTCTTGCCATAGTAAAAAAGAATGAAAAAAATTCGAGCAAGTATCTTAAACTGATAAGTAAAAAATGATCGCTCGATAGTCCTTGATAAGAATAATACGAACTTACTGAGCTATTCAAGCTATTTAAACAATAAATTCAGCTTGTAAGCTTTACCTACAATGATTATATACCGAAGAAATATTTCCGACAAATATGAAAATGTTTATTTTTTAGAAATATTTGAAAATTCCCTATTTTTTCAAATACTTCGGGAAAAATATCGTGTTAGAAAAGAGTTTGAAAAGTGATAAAAAGAATTAATAGCTTCAAATATATAAAATGTGTTCGTACCTAGAATCACGAGTAGCAAAATTATTGGCAGTACCAATCTCGGTAACATGATGAGCCTACAAAAACTTCACACGAAATCCGGATGAGTTCCGATAACAATAATCCAATGGATCGTGCAGTCCAAAAACGGAAATCGACGATCGGCGATCCGCGCCTGCGAATAGGCTTTTTCTGACCTCGGTTGGGTCAAAGGTCGACCGTTCGAAGGGGTTCGTCTCACGCATGCACTATCACGAAGAGACGATTCTTGATGGTCACGCTTAGCGTAAGCGAGCAACGATACTCGCTGAGCGCGCTGAACAAACTGAACTGTTCACACTGCACCGCTGGAGGCAGCTGGAGGCAACTGCTAACTAAATACAGAATAAAGACAGACTAACGTACTCAGTTTAGCTAAGTAAGATGTCACCAGAGACCAAGGCACCATGTGTGAGGTTGTAAATTGTTCAGTCCATTGTAACAATTACTTTAATATTTGATTATTTCAAGGGTTTATATATATATATAACATAATTAATATTTTATATATTATAATTATATTATATATATAATATAATTAAAAAATATATATATATAATAGGGTATACATTTTTGCAATTATATATACGTATTATATTTCAAGTAATTTTTGAAGATGTACATGATTTTGGATCAGGTTCCATCTGGTAATCCATCTTATATTTTTTCAAATAGACCACACGGTCAGGAAAGATAGTAGTATAAAGCTTTAAAATAGCTTGTGTTACATGAAATATCGAATTTCTTACGAGTCGCAAATAAATGCACATTGAACAATAAGAAAATGTTTATTAAATTTAAAAAAACAATATTTCATAGTTTACCGGCTAAAATTAAATAAATCATTTATCTATACGTTCTATAATAATAAATTAAACAAATGCTTTTTGAAAATGTTGTGGTAGATTTTATATAAGTAGTAGTGTCAAATGATTAGAGAAACATATTATCGTATTTTTAAGTTGGATAGCATTTAATATCGCGGAGATGCTTCCGGGACTAAATGTAGAACCACAGACGAGGTATCTCATTTGTGGTAGTATGCATCGCGAAGGTTGTAAAATTTACTTTTACGATTTCTCATAAAATAGTTTCTTTATTAGATAAGAGAAATCAGCGTTAAGTATGTTATGACGACTACTGCATTTTTTATAGGAAGTTAGATTATGGTTTTGCAACAGAATGAATAATTAGGTCAAGATTATTTGATAATTAGAATAATTTATTGATGAATCTGAAATAATCTTCCAGATCCGTGGACGGATTATAAATGTTTTAAGGCACTTCGTTTACATTATACATCTAACTTTGAATATTAGTACCTTGAATATTTAACAAATTTTTACAAACTTAATCTAAAGTTTGAATATTACTACCATTTTTTAAGTTTCACATAAGTGTATAATTATACATCAACATTTTGCATTTGCATTTTCAGTGACAAATCTTCACAATAATCGTCTTAGTCATATTCTAGAAAACAATATTTATTTACAGTATGATCTTTTGTGAAATACTAAGATACTGATATTATTATTGTTAGTACCTTACATGAATGTTTGATCATGTTGCTCATGGATCATTGTTGCTCTCCGAGATTGAACCATACCACCTTGCCTATTATATAATTCTCGCACCAAGTTGTCTTTTTCTTGTTCGAGAATTGCTATTCGCTGGCTTTTCTTATTAACTTCCTGTTTCACATTGTTTTGCAAATTAATGTTTATTTGGTTGTTAATGTTTTAGTGATGTTTCAGTTAGAAAATTCATTTTTGAACTCACTTCTGTCAGTCTATGATTTTGTTGTTTGAGCCCAGAAAGCATGTCTTGCTGAAGTTGTGTAGATGTTGGAGTACTAAGAAAAGCAAGATTCATATGAAGGGGAAGACCCCCACGTTCCCAGCTAGTAATTAATGCAGCCAAGTGTTTATTAACTTCTAACACCCGGGCACGTTGCAATTCTAAACGTTCTTGTTGTGCTTCTGTCCACTGCTCCTGAAAAGGAAGTACATTATTTGTCCAATGTATGTAAAGTAATGTTATGAAATATTAACAAAACTTTTAATACCACATGAGATCCCATGCGTCCAAGATGTTTGATCTTTTCTTGAGTGGCAGAGATTTGCTTCAAATACCATTCTCTAGCTTTATCAACTGCAGCTAAACCTTGAAGCAATACATCTTTTTCTTGCTCGATTTGTTTCATTCTCTTCATCTAAAAACATAAGCAAAATTAAATAGTCTTTTACAATAAAGACTACAACACAGGTTTCCCAACTATCCAATCTAGAAAAATGTTGCATAGCATTGTGTTCATTAGAAGCTAACTTAAAATGAACTATACGGTTGTACAGCATGTTAATATTTATTAAATATCATGCATACCCAAAACCAATCACCAATCGTTAGTTGGGAATCCTAGAGGAGAACATCTTTACCATATTATAATCAATACCATTCTGCAACGTATGACGTCTAGGTTCTCTACGTCGATTTAGTGACTTTTTAAGTTGAAGGCCAACTTGATTATTTTGTAATTCAACTGCTTTACCATCTCCTAACACACGAGTTGGTCTCAATAATGTTCTTGTATCTGGTTTGTAGTTTACTGTTGGCAATTGTCGTTTCTCTATAGCTTTATCATCATTCATTAACAAACCCATTTGCCAGTTTTGTAATACTGTTCGAATTTCAGACTTGTCGAAATTTCTATCAGTATTAACAGCTCTAACTTCTAATGCAGCACCTGTTCTGGGAGGTTTTGGGGGTCCATATGCTTTATTTAGTTTTGATTCAGTTCCGCTTCTAGCATCCATTAACTCCAATTGTGTATTGACATCCTTACGACCTGCTAATAACTGAGGCATACTTAAAGTTCGTTGTTGAGATATGGCATTATTTGGTCTAATAGTTGCTGTGTTCGGAGATGTACATGTTGTTTTATTTTGATTATCTGGAATAAGAATTGGAGCAGACGGTGGCCTATTTGGTTGGCCACTGTGTTTTTTGGGATCAGAGTCTACTTGAATTTGCAATAAGCAAATTTTTAGTCCAGTGCAAAACCTTTCAAAAGATAACAAACCATTCGGAGGGGTAACTTTCTTAAGACTATCTAAAACACCTTTTGGAAGACCCTGTGTTCCATCGTCTTGCCATCTATCTTCGATATCAGAAAATTTGACAAACCCTGTATTTTGATCATCCATTATATCAAAAAGTGTACGCATGGCAGCGACAAAATGTTTTGGCAGCCCATCAGCGGCCGACGTTAGTATTTGCGCCATGTTTATATACAAGTGTACTTAAAATATGGTTATAAAAATTCCATACATATACTGTAATTGTTTAAATATTTTATATTTATGCATTATCTTGCTGATACTGGAAGATATTCCATTATGATTCATATAATTCGGATGACCAACTAGTTATTGTATCATAATCGGTCATCGTTAATCAATCATTATGTTATCAACCTGACAGGTCTTCTTCCCAGTGCACATTTCTTGATGTATTAAAAATTCAATTATTATCGTCAAGTTTGACTATATTTAACACTTCTTGAATACATTCTTTTGTTAACTTTTGATTTGGTAAGTCAGTCTTCTTTTTCAAATAACCTCTGTAAGCCTTCAATTTTATCCAAGTAAATGTAAGCACAACAAATGTAACTAGTACAATGAAGTAATGAACATGAAGGTACATACATACATACACCAATGGTGTGTGTCGAAATACAAATGGTATGTATGCATATATATGTACAAAACGAATGATGTATTGCAACGCCATCTGTTCAAACGATTAAACTACGTTTGCTCCATCATCAGTCCACTATTGGTTAGTTAGAAACAGCAGAGTTTACATTCGGTTATGTTTCTGAGGTGAGCTTTAAAATAAAGACAAGAAGAATTACAAGAAATTTTAAGAGTTTCGAAAATATTATAAATCAGTTTCTTATATCGATCATAAATGGTGACATTCGTTAAATTCAGATATCATATTTTGTGCCTTTTAAGGTTAAAAAGTTAATTATTTTATATACTTATTTAGATAACCTGTGGAATAAAGTGAATAATGAATAACAGATAACGTCAGTGGACAACAAACGAACATATTTATCAGCTGCTGATCCAAATTTTAAACACACTCTTCTATAACTAAGTATATATATATATACAAAAAACATGAGTTTCGCATTTGATGCTTCTAAATCGCAAGTAGCCACCACAACAACTGCTAATGCCCCAACTACAAGTAAAGACCAAGAAAATTCTAATAGCAACATATATAATAGAGGAATGGTTTATTATATTTATATATTTTTCAGGTTTTACATTTGGTTCTTTAGGTGCCGGAGATGCTGGAAAACCGATAGGTTTTTCATTGACACAAACTCCTGCACAAAATAAACCTGGGGCTGCACCCGTGTTTGGTACTGGAGCAAGCGCTACTCCTGCTCAGGGTACTGGATTTAGTTTTGGGACACCTGCAGCAGCTCCTACAGTTGCTCCTATTAATACATCAGTACCACAAACACCTATATTAGCATTTGGTACAGGTACAGTTGCAAGTACTGGCATAACTCCTACTGCAACTAGTACTGCATCACCTAAGCTTTTTTGTGGGCCAACAACAATTGGAAGTACTCCAAGTTTCACTTTAGGAGGCACTACTACTGTTACTACAACCGCAACACCTGTATCTGGTTTTGGAGCTAAACCACTTACAGGTGGATTATCATTGAGTGGTGGTCAACCTACTTCATCTGTTCCAACAACTGGTCTAACATTTGGTACACCAAATACAAAGGCAACAGGCACTGGTTTTGCTGTTGGTACAACTGCAGCAGGTATCAAACTTAGGCTATATAATATTTACAATTTGAAAATTTAGAAATCCTATAATTTCTATAAATTCTGAAATTTTATAATTTCAACAGGTTTTCCTACAAACGTAAAAACTGGTTCTACTGCCACAGGATTCACTTTTGGCACAGGAACAACTGCAGTAAGCACAACTGGATTTGCTTTAAATAAAACTTCTGCTGCTCCAAGTCTTACAACCCCTAGTACTCAGCTATCATTAGGCACAACAACCACGTAAATAAATCATTTCTTAGATTAAATATGTACACTCTTGTTTGCATATTAATAAATATAATATTACAGTGTCACTTCATCTGCAAATGCAAACCATCCTGCTTCTATAAATTCATTTGAGGAATCTATCAACAAATGGACTTTAGAATTAGAAGAACAAGAGAAAGTATTCGTTAATCAAGCTGCACAAGTTAATGCTTGGGACAAATTGCTAATAACTAATGGAGAAAAAATAGTAGCACTTAATGAAGAAGTTGAACGAGTAAAAATTGAACAGCAACAATTAGAACAAGAATTGGATTATGTTGTAAGTTTCTATCGATCATATATGAAGTGGGATATATTGAAAATTTTGACACATGTATCGATTATGTACAGGTTGGTCAACAAAAGGAGTTGCAAGACTGTTTAGTGCCACTAGAAAAAGAATTAGCATCACTTTCGGTTTCGGATCCAGAAAGAGAGTACACGTATCGTTTAGCGGAAGATCTCGATACTCAACTAAAACGAATGTCAGAAGATTTGAAAGAAATTATCGAACATTTAAATCAAGCTAATCGTACCCAAGATTCTAGCGATCCGATTGTCCAGATTGGTAAAATACTCAACGCGCACACGAATAGTTTGCAGTGGTTAGATCAACAGACATCCCTGCTTAACCATAAAATACAACAGATTGATCAGATGCATCAAAACTTCAGACAAGAAAATGAACGAAATTTTAATTTAGCATATAATTAATTTGAATTGCCACATATTTGTTTAATATGAAGTTTGTACACATCTTTGCGAAAACACAGTTTATGCCAGTTATTTCTAAGTATTACGAAAAAGTAAATAAAACACGGGAAGGCAGTCCATTTAAAAAAATAACATATTTACATTGTATCTGGACATCATTACAAACATTCATAAGTTGTAAAATGATGACTCAGGTAGTCATCGAAGGAATGAAATAATGTATTTTTAAATAATCTGATAAATGTAGATACAAGTTCACAATTCTATCTTCAAGTATATTACATTTGACACCGTCAGGATGTACGACATCCCAGGCCAAAAACATAAAAAACTTTTTAACATCAATAGTTGCAGATATTTTGTCATCATGACTTTTCTGACTGCAACTCCACACCTGGAGATTCTGGAAATGAGTAGAAACTGTCGCGCTGTCCGTGTCAACTTTTAACACAAACATACCAGACTTGTCGGCACTTATTGTTAATCGTGGACTCATGTTTTTCATTCTCTCTACGATACTCCTTACATGTCTAAGTTGTGGCATATCAACCGATATCTAAAAGTTATAAAGATGCAAATTATTCAGCAATCGAACATAGAAAATATGTAAATATTTACATCAAATTCCGGTATATTTGGTGCTTGGTGCTCCTGCCATTCTCGACGCGGAATAACTCTCACTGGAACATCGTGTAAACATTGTCTTGATTCAATACTTAATGATGGAAGTTCGATTTCCAGTGAGAGGCAAGGTTGACGTTTATTTGTTAGTTTAATTTTTACACTCTTTGCAGTCATTCGTAAAGAACTCAGCGATCTGGCCAGCATAGTTGCATCAAATTCTAAATAAATTTCGTTTTGTTCCTCGGTGACACCGTTCATAAGATACTCGGTAAAAAAATGATCTTGACTTAATTCTGCCCAAACCATTGATACACGATCGTCACTGACGCTAAAGCATAACTCATTCGGTGTTAATCTTAATATACATTGTTTTGTTAACCGGGAAAGAACATTAACAATATCTAAAACAGAAATAATTTGTTTTATACACCAAAAGTAAAATAAATGTTCTTTAAATAATCAATAGAAATATACGAAATACAATACTTAAGCCAATTAAGTACAATATAAGTAAAATAAACAATACCATATTTAAAACATGTAAGTACAGCAGAGAAACATTCATAATCAATTTTTGTCAATTCTATATGCATTATATTAAGAACTATAATTACTTATATGCAAAATTCGTAGAATTGTCACAAAAGGTTAGAAATAGATTATAAATGTTGAACTTACTTGTGAAATCTCTCATAGCAATTGCATCTACCATTCTACATCGAAATTTCATATTGAAGTATATAATAAGAATGTTTTACATTAACAATAAGCAAAAAAATAAAAAGATTTAGGCGGGAACTTCTGACACAATCTTAGCTAACATTTGACAGATAACCCTGTCACTGCATTGGAAATGATACACATTGACACAATTTCCACAAAAGCTTTATTTTTATATTACATTTATATTTCAAATAAAATATGATATAGATAACGTATGTATTACAGTACAATTGCAATTAACCGGCATATGTAGTTGATTATACGGCATTGTTATTTTAGAAGTTATTGGGAATTAATAAATATTGAGGCTAAAGAAATGTTAGGAGACTGCTGCATCTATATCACGTAAAAATAGTTTATTTATTGTCAAAAATAAAGAAAGCAGATGACTTTCACCACTTTCGCCGTAAGACACAATGTAAAATTCGATAAAAATCAATTGCTATTTAGGTGATACTGGTGCCTCTTATGACAAAATCTCGAAGCTCTGTTCAGAGGTCTGTATAGCGCCAATTAGTAAACGGCAAAACGCTTAAACTGATAGCCAAATCATAGCGACAAAATAAACTACACCAGGAATAGTGACGGCTTTTGTAGCAAAATCTTGTAGCTCAACATTTCAATCCGTGTAATTGCATACGAAACCCCATATAGCGATTGGTCTATGTATGTGTGTATTCCTACATTTTATGTATGGTAATACTACAATCAGGGAGTGTCAATTCTATAGGGAAAATTGGGGACACTTTTTGACTGCCATCTGAGCTAGCTGCAAACTTGGACGAACTAAAATTCAATATGGCTACGACGCAACGATATTCCCGCCATTCTGAGCGAAGCCAAGCTAACCGCAAGCGAATCAGCGAACTGCAGCTACACACACACACATAAGCAGTAAACCACATTTTTTTTATTTCCCATAGTTTCTTATATCTTTATAATAGTATTTAAAGTACATATATTTTTGTTTTAGATTCTTTTAGATTGATCCATCCTATTATCAACAACGTAGCAGCGAAGACATCGAAGCCATAAACACGTGTATGTATGATACTTCATTAGAAATGAATGTTTTTGCTGTATACCACTAAAAAATAGAAAATAAAATTATTTTTCCCATATTAGTCGTTAAATTTGATTATTTTCCTTTCCCCATGACTAACACGTCCAAAGCGAGCTTTTACTTGCAATAATTTCTATTAAAGTTTTAAGTAGATTGTATATAAAAAATGCATATAATCGCACTATTTAGATAAACATAAATAAGACTTAAAATGTTTTTAAGTATAGCACGTCTTTCCAGGGCAAGAGGTTAAAATAAAAAATGTTATGTTATTGTATCATGAGTCCTCACATCCGTCGAATGTAGAATCTTAGCATAGGCGTAGGAATAGCACAAGGATAGTGTAAGCAAGCCTCTAACAGAGACAATTAGGGAGAATTTACACTATATATATCCACCAAATATTTACACAGAAGTTTTTGTGTTTTTTTGGTCAAATGGTTTTGGAAACGTCTTCAGACGATTTTGAAATAGCTCTTTCGTGGCGGCATTGATGTGACATTAGAAGTAGAAGCTGTTTTATTTTGCTACAACAACCCAAGCAGTTTCGAAAATTAAACATTTGGATCCACTAGTTCTTCACTGTCAACAAATAGACTATTTATTTTAGCGGTTATTTCTTGTACATTCATTTTAAGATAATTCGAATCCCACTTCTGATTTCGGATATGTATGAAATATTCATTCACTGCAGATAATATTTTTTATTTTAAATTACCATGCTTATCCCAATGTTTCATAATTTGTGAGGAAGTATTGTATAGATCAAGATAATCATAATATTTATTGATGTCGACAGATGCTGACAAGCAAGATAGTATATGAAAATAACAATATACCTAACAGATTATAACATCGGAGTGATTTAGAAGAGGGTGAGTTGGAGGATGCCAATAAAATCACAAGAGAGATAATTGAAAGCTTTGAAAAACACATTGCTTTTGGAATGAGTCCAGAAAAGAAAATCAAATTAGAAAATCAGAAACAGCAGGAAGAAGATTTTCTTCAGGAAGAAGATATAATACAGTATATACCAGTATGTGAACAGAGGCTGAGGAATGGTTAGTTATTTTCTTTTAAAGAAACTGAAAACTGCCTAATGAATGGAGTAGAAATGAATGCTCTAAATACAAAAGGCAAAACAGTTTTAAATATTGCACACGAGAAAAAAAAATTATGAGTATTAATTAGATTTCTTTCTGCATTAGGTTGTAAGACAGCAATAGATTTAGTGGATGATAGCAATAATGATTCAGACATAATTAACAGAACTAACTTACAACAGCAAATACAGCAACCAATCAATGCTGTTGATAAAAAGTTAGTTGAATTATTAGGTTTAACAGATGATCAAGAATTTCTGACAGAGGATCAATCAATAAAGTTAATTGAAACCTTAAAATCCAATTCACTTGATAAACAAGAAACAATAGACTCTCTAATACGGTATGGAATTCACATAAATTATCAAGTTCTTAACGAAAGTGTAGGAGAAAAAAGANCAATGCTGTTGATAAAAAGTTAGTTGAATTATTAGGTTTAACAGATGATCAAGAATTTCTGACAGAGGATCAATCAATAAAGTTAATTGAAACCTTAAAATCCAATTCACTTGATAAACAAGAAACAATAGACTCTCTAATACGGTATGGAATTCACATAAATTATCAAGTTCTTAACGAAAGTGTAGGAGAAAAAAGANAACAGAGACAATTAGGGAGAATTTACACTATATATATCCACCAAATATTTACACAGAAGTTTTTGTGTTTTTTTGGTCAAATGGTTTTGGAAACGTCTTCAGACGATTTTGAAATAGCTCTTTCGTGGCGGCATTGATGTGACATTAGAAGTAGAAGCTGTTTTATTTTGCTACAACAACCCAAGCAGTTTCGAAAATTAAACATTTGGATCCACTAGTTCTTCACTGTCAACAAATAGACTATTTATTTTAGCGGTTATTTCTTGTACATTCATTTTAAGATAATTCGAATCCCACTTCTGATTTCGGATATGTATGAAATATTCATTCACTGCAGATAATATTTTTTATTTTAAATTACCATGCTTATCCCAATGTTTCATAATTTGTGAGGAAGTATTGTATAGATCAAGATAATCATAATATTTATTGATGTCGACAGATGCTGACAAGCAAGATAGTATATGAAAATAACAATATACCTAACAGATTATAACATCGGAGTGATTTAGAAGAGGGTGAGTTGGAGGATGCCAATAAAATCACAAGAGAGATAATTGAAAGCTTTGAAAAACACATTGCTTTTGGAATGAGTCCAGAAAAGAAAATCAAATTAGAAAATCAGAAACAGCAGGAAGAAGATTTTCTTCAGGAAGAAGATATAATACAGTATATACCAGTATGTGAACAGAGGCTGAGGAATGGTTAGTTATTTTCTTTTAAAGAAACTGAAAACTGCCTAATGAATGGAGTAGAAATGAATGCTCTAAATACAAAAGGCAAAACAGTTTTAAATATTGCACACGAGAAAAAAAAATTATGAGTATTAATTAGATTTCTTTCTGCATTAGGTTGTAAGACAGCAATAGATTTAGTGGATGATAGCAATAATGATTCAGACATAATTAACAGAACTAACTTACAACAGCAAATACAGCAACCAATCAATGCTGTTGATAAAAAGTTAGTTGAATTATTAGGTTTAACAGATGATCAAGAATTTCTGACAGAGGATCAATCAATAAAGTTAATTGAAACCTTAAAATCCAATTCACTTGATAAACAAGAAACAATAGACTCTCTAATACGGTATGGAATTCACATAAATTATCAAGTTCTTAACGAAAGTGTAGGAGAAAAAAGANACAGCAACCAATCGATGCTATTGATGAAAAGTTAGTCGAATTGCTAAGTTTAATTATATTCATTGTAAACAACTTTTTAATTAAGCCAGTTCTTAACAAAAAATTAGGAGAAATAAACGAAATAAACAAATATAATAAAACATGGCAACAATTTTGAATATTCTATTGATGTTAATAATTTTCTAACGTCAAGTAAACAAGTGCTTCTTCTAAAAACAGAGAATACATTGTTAAGCATTTTAAGTATTTATGAAAGCTTGATAATTAGACATAAAAATTATTCTATACAAGATAGTTATTTTTTCAAATTGGATTCTTATGTAGAAAAACGAAACGAAATCAACAATTTACTCTATTTTGTAGAAAGTAAAATGTTATGCATAAGATATCCCTATAATTCATATAAGGGAAGGTTATCAGATGTTTTAGAAAGTTTAAATACAATTTTAGAATACAGATCGGATAAAAAGATCATATTCATAATACCAGAAAATAAAATAAAGGAATTTAATGAAATCAAAAGAGTGTTTAATAACAAATGTTATGAAGAAGCAACAGACCGCAAGTTCACATTAAATGACCTAACTGAAGAATCACAGCAGAAGCTCTTGAAACAAGAAGTGATATTGCAAGGAGAAAAGATTAGTTTGAACAAATTAATAGATAAATCAGATAAAAATTCAGAACAAATAATTGATGCAAAAACATTAGAGGGACTTATTACTAATAATGTAATCAAGATAGGTAGTAGACCATTAGGCACAGTTGGCTTAGAAGGAGCATATTCTAATTTAGATGAGGAAGTCAACATGGAAACTTTCATTGATAAATTATTATCAGAAGAATCGAGTGATATTTACATTATTAGTGGAATACCTAGCATATTTAGGGAGAACAATTTATTTGAATACCTAGTAAATGCATTTATGGATATTAGCAAAACATCAAAAGTTAATGATTTCGAAAGTCGAATCACAGTTTTGAATCAAAACGATAGAATACAAATAGCTAATGATCAATTTAAAATAGTTGATTTTAAGCATATATGTCAAAACAATTGGGAAAGAAAAATTTATTGGATTAATCTAAAACATGAAGGCAATGTAACCAAATTTATGCTAAAGCAAATTTATGATCCTGACTTTTGCTTGAAAGGTAATAAATTTCATAATGAAGTAGTTATTGAGAAGAACATACGGGAACTGTTAGCGATATCTATTCCTTCTGAAATATTTATTATTGGTGGCAAAAGCAAAGAGGAGGTCAGAAGATGGCTTGAAATTAATTCTGGTAAAGAACGACTACATTTTACAAGAAATTGCAATAATAATTGGATTAAGTTCCTAAATTCTCAAGATGATATGTCAGCTACTTTTCAAGAACTAGTTGCGCAAAATCGCGGTCAAACGATTCATTTGCTGAAATTTGAACAAGATCAGCTTATTTGGTATAAAACTCAGGGTTCATTAATGAATTTAAGCAAATATAGAGGTAAAAACCATAGGAATACTGAACATTCAATAGAAGCAGATGCTTTAATTACTGAAATTAAAGATGATAAAGTGGTAATTATCGCTGGTAATCCAGGAATGGGCAAATCTACTGCTTTGGTTAAGTTATATGAGTTACAGTATGCATTACAATCTGGCACAAAAGAGTCGATAATTAAGTCACATTGGTTGATTACAGTCAATCTAAAAAGTCATTTAGCTGCAATAAATAATATTGATTTTTATGCAAAAGATATAGTAAAAGAGATAACAAATTTTTTATTACAAGTTAATAAAAGTATAAGCGATGGTTTTACCAGAAGTTTATTAGGTATGGCATTAGTAAAACAGGATTTTGCGAAGCCGTTATTAATAGTACTTGATGGATTTGATGAACTTGTAATTAAAAACGATAGAGACAAAGTTATGTCATTATTGAAACATCTAAAAAATGAAACTAAAGCTAAAGTTTGGATTACTACTAGCCTCCTTTATGAGCAGGCTTTAGCGAGTACAGTATCAACATTTGCTATAAGGCTTGCCCCAATTGGTGATGAAATATTAAGCAAATTGATTAAAAAGTATTTGAAGAATAATCTAAGTCTCATTTTAAGTCATAAGGAGTTCCAAAGTATCTTTGGTAATAGTGACGAAATAATAGAAAATACGAGGATGCAAGAATACACCAAGGCATTATTAAATAAAATGCACGAAGTATTTACAGAGGATATGTCTAAGCTCATTGGAACACCATTACAGCTCTATTTAACGTTAGAAGGTTCTTCAAAATATTTTAAAGCGTGGACACGAAATGTTAATAGTCAGAGCCCAGATTTTAGTTATCTGGGTAATAACATGTTTGAAGTATATGAAAAATTTCTTGATAGAAAATATATTTATTTAAAAAAAGTTCGAGAACAAGTAGAACAGGAGAAAGATAAAGTAACTTTTGATAATTATTATAAAACTCAAACTAAATCTTCCATTATTACATTAGCACGTGAACAATCTTTAGAAAAATTTAGAAGTATTGAATATTTACATCCAACTTATGTAGACTATTTTGCTGCTGTATTATGTTTACGTTCGAAAGGGAATCTGCAAAAATGTTTATTAAAGGAGGTTTCAGGAAATTCAGAATATCAAGTTTTACACACATTTTTAAACAGTAGACTCCTAAAAGAAAAGATGGTAAATATAGATCTGCAAGAAGAATATTATCGTAATGTTTTATTCGAAGCAGCTAACGATTGTAATTTAAGAATCGTTCGTTTTGTGTTAGATAACTTAGATAATTCGAGTAGCATTCTTGCTGCTAAAAATAATAGTGGCAGAACAGTCTTGCATGTAGCTGTTATTTCTGGTAACTTGGATATAGTTAAATTTCTGGTAGATGAGAAAAAGGCCGATTTTAATGTTAAAGACAATAATGGCATGACAGTTTTGTACACGGCTGCTGCATTTGGTAAGTCAGAGATTGTTAAATATCTGATAGGTAAAGGCGCCGATGTTGATGCAAAGAACAACATGAACAGAACAGTTTTGCACATGGCTGCTACGATGTGTAACTTAGAGATTGTTAAACTTCTGATAAGTAAAGGTGTCAATGTTGATGCAAAAGACGATTGTGGTATGACAGTTTTGTACATGGCTGCTACTTCTGGTAACTTGGACGTAATTAAATTTCTGGTAAATGAAAAAGGGGCCAATATTGATGCTAATGCCAATCATGGGATGGAAATGCTGCACGTAGCTACTACTTCTGGTAACTTGGACATGATTAAATTTCTGATGGATGAAAAAGGGGTCAATATTATGGCTAAATGCAATTCACTTTTGTACTTCTCTGCTGTTTCTGATAACTTGGACATAGTTAAATATCTGGTAAATGAAAAAGAGGCTAATGTTGATAATAAAAACGAATGTGGCATCCCAACTTTGCACGGGGCTGCTGTTTTTGGTAACTTGGACATTATGAAATTTTTGATAAATGAGAAAAAGGCCGATTTTAATGCTAAAGAGATTTGTGGCAGATCAATTTTGCATACGGCTGCTGTTTCTGGTGACTTGGACAAGATTAAATTTCTGGTAAATGAAAAAAAGCTCGACGTTAATGCTAAAAACGATAACGACGTGACAATTTTGCACGTGGCTGTTCAGGCTAATAACTTAAATGTTGTAAAATATTTGATAGATGAGGGTGCCAATGTTCACGCAAAAGACAGGCATGATGTAACAGTTTTGCACATGGCTGCTAAGTCTGGTAATTTAGAGATTGTCAAATATCTGATAGATAAAGGTGCTAATGTTGATGCAAAAAATATCTTTGGTCTAACAATTTTGCACAATGCTGCCCAGTCTGGTAACGTGGAGTTGGTTAACTTCCTGATAAATGAACAAGAATTCGATTTTACTACTAAAGAGAATAAGCGCAGCACAGTTTTGCACTCGGCTATTTCGTCTGGTAACTTGGACATGATTAAATTTCTCGTAATTGAAAAAAAGGCCAATGTTTATACTGTAGACAATCGTGGCATGACAGTTTTGGAGGCGACTGTTCTTTCTGGTAATTTGGACATGGTTAAATTTCTGATAAATAGAAGGAAGGTCTATTATCGAACTAAAGACAATAATGGCAGAACAGTTTTGCACGTGGCTGCTATATTTGGTAAATTGGAGATTGTTAAATTTCTGATAAATGAAAAGAATCTCAATTTTAATGAAAAAGACAAAATAGGCTCAACAGTTTGGCACCTGGCTGCTTTATCTTGTAACGTAGAGATAGTTAAATTTCTGCTAGAGAAAGGTGCCAATGTTAATGCAAAAGACAACTTTGGAGCCACAGCTTTGCATATCGTTGCTAGCTCTGGCGATCTCAAAATGGTAAAATTTCTGGTAAAGGAAAAAAATATCAATTTGAATGCTAAAGACAATAATGACATGACGATTTTGCACGTGGCTTTTAGATCTGATAATTTTGATGTGATTGAATTTCTGATAAATGAGACAAAGGTCGATTTTAATGCTGTAGACAATACTGGCATGCCAATTTTGCACCTGGCTGCTTTATCTCATAACATAAAGATGATTAACTTTTTGTTAAATAAAGGTGCCAATGTTGATGTAAAAAGCAACATTGGCATAACAGTTTTGCACATCATTGCTAGTTCAGGTAACTTCAAGCTTGTACAATATCTGGTAAATGAAAAAATGGCCGATTTTAATGCTAAGGACAATACTAATAGGACAATTTTGCACGTGGCTGCTAGATTTGGTAATTTTGACGTGGTTAAATTTCTGATAAATGAGAAAGGGGCCGATTTTAATGTTATAGACAATTATGGCGCGACAATTTTACACGCGGCTGCTACAACTTGTAACATAGAGATGATTAAATTTCTGATAGATAAAGGTGTTAATGTTAATGCAAAAGACGTCCATGGCATAACATTTTTGCAGGTCGTTGCTAGCTATGGTCACCTCGAGGTTTTAAAATTTCTGGTAAATGAAAAAGAGCTCGATTCTAATACTAAAGACTATGCAGACGTGACAATTTTGCACGCGGCTGCTACGTCTGGTAATTTGGACATGGTTAAATTTCTGATAAATGAAAAAAAGGCCGATTTCAATGCTATAGACCTGTTTGGCAGAACAGTTTTGCACATGGCTGCTAAATCTGGTAATACGGATCTGGTTACATTTCTGGTAAATGAGAAAAAGGCCGATTTCAATGCTAAAGACAATTCTGGTGGCACAATTTTGCACAGAGCTGTTGAGTCTCGTAACTTGAATATGGTTAAATTTCTGATAAATGAAAAAAAGGCTAATTTTGATCCTAATGGCAATGATTTTGTGAGATTTTTTAACTTTCCTAATCCACACGAATATGGTCATATAATTGATTTTTTGAAAGGTATAGAAGCTATAGAATCCCCCCCTTGAAAAGCTTTAGTATTATTAGCTAGTTTGACAAGTATTTGTATGCTGAATGATAGTATTATGTACATAGTTCTATATTTCATACTCTCGTTAGGAGCAAGTTATTGTGTGAGAAGGAAGAAGAATCACACAAGCAAAATGTTACAAAGACGAGAGAATGGCATGAAGTAAGAAAATGTAAATATTTTTAATGTAAGGCTGTAATTACAATAAATTAATGGTTTTAAGTGATATATGCTATACAGAGTTTATGCTTTCACAATTACCACAATTTCTAAAATATTTTCAAAAATCTGCCAAGAAAGTGTTTTGTATAGAAATTAAGTATTCTTCAATGGTCTTCACTTTCTAAAGTTGACTTATGATGATACATAATTGATATTAATGTCAAGGGACATATGCGGAACCTTTATTTGTTCAACTTTGAAATCACTTTGAAACATCCTACGAAGGTCATGCTAAGATACATTTTTTATTACACAGTGACAGTCAGAAAATATAAAACACTTGAATATCTTTGTTCGTATGAAGCATAAAGAAAAGTTTTGAATATAGTCTTGGTTTTGACACGTGTTATCAAGGATACTGCAAAATTGGTCTCAACTGATTTGGAATTGAGCTTAGGGACGGGAGGGAGCAGAAAGGGCTGGCGCGGCGTCCGGTGTCCCAACTACACTCACAATGTTCACATTTTGCATAGATTTATGTATGTACGATCTTGAAATATGTTGACAAGATGACTTACATGTCCGTATGCATGTACGTATATACAGGGTGTTCCACAATTATTTTAACAGCCGAAAATGAGGGGTAGCTGAGGTCATTTGAAGTAACTTTTTCCTTTGCGAAAATGCAATCCGTGGCTTTGTTTACGAGTTATTAACGAAAAACACTGGCCAATGAGAGGTGACGGTGCGAGGGAGAGGGTCCGCGAGAGAGTCCGCAACACGAGGCTTTGACAGAAGGTCGGGACGGACTCGATCCGCGTTCGAAGTATTGAACAAGTTACAAGGCGAGAACTTTCCGAATTTTTTTTACTACATAACAGTGATATTTTTAAGAAAAACGCTGTTCACCTTTACTTTAGAACGTCTGAAGAATATTTACTAATTTGTCGGACTCGAAATAATATGTAGTTTAACCGTGACAGCCGTTTACCATATGAAATTTTTATGCAAGGTGTACAGTGGAGATTAACAAAGTTCGTAAATGATATTTTAATTTAAATAATTCCGTGTACGAACAGAATTCAACGAATGATTCGCAAAGCTGATTTAATAATAAATAATCGCGTTAAGGTACGTAAAGGATTTGTTTTTTAGAGAAATATGAAAAATATTATCGATAAGAAACTCACCACCCATTTAGTTGAGGATGCATTTGCTGACTCGTACGTACTGACCTCGTACAACGAACAGCTGATCCCAGGTCGATGACCGCAACATTCGAGGGATACTGTCGGTGGAACCTCTGGTATGGTTATTTGCGAAGTTCACTTACACTGCACTGTCACCAAACACACGCACACACTGATCAGTTATTTAATCACTGATAATCACTGAGACTCGTTCGCGGATAATCGTTTATTCGACGCGTTCGTTCAGAAGTCGACGTTTCACTGCCGAAAAATTCAGGCCTTGACTGTGGGTCCTTGTTGTTCTTCGTTCGGCCGTCCGAGGAAATGACACTCGATACCATTTTCTTCGCACGGCCATTAATTACGTTCTAAGAGCGCAGGGTGACAGCGGGTCGGACACAGTTTACGTCTCGGCATATCTTGTTTATTTCATTTGGCGGTACCCTGCGCTTCGAAGAAAATAGTATCGGCTGTTATTTCCTCGGACGGCAGAAAGACGAACGACAAGGGCCCACGGTCGAGGCCTCGATTTTTTGGCAGTGAAACGTAATATATATCCACGTAATAAATATCCACAAGTGATTCGGATTATCAGTGATTAATTAAGTGATCAGTGTTTGGTGACAGTGCAGTGAAAGATCAGCTGTACGTTGTACAAGGTCAGTGCCCTTTGACATCATGAATTTCAGCCAGCAAATGCATCCTCAACTAAATGGGTGAGTTTCTTACTGATAATATTTTTCATATCTCTCTAATAAACAAATCCTTTACGTCCCTTATTTATTATTAAATCAGCTTTGCAAATCATTCGTTAATCTTCACTGCACACCTTGCATAAAAATTTCATATGGTACACACGAGGTGTCATGCACACCAGAAAATTAAAACGGCTGTCACGGTTAAACTTCATATTGTTTCGGGTCCGAAAAATTAGTAAATATTCTTCAGACGTTCTAAAGTAAAGGTGAACAGCGTTCTTCTTAAAAATATCACTGTTATGTAGTAAAAAAAATCCGGAAAGTTCTCGCCTTGTGACTTGTTCAATACTTCGAACGCGGATCGAGTCCGTCCCGACCTTCTGTCAAAGCCTCGTGTTGCGGACTCTCTCGCGGACCCTCTCCCCCGCACCGTCACCTCTCATTGGCCAGTATTTTTCGTTAATAACTCGTAAACAAAGCCACAGATTGCAAATTCGCAAAGGAAAAAGTTACTCCAAATGACCTCAGCTACCCCTCATTTTCGGCTGTTAAAATAATTGTGGAACACCCTGAATATTGATATAATCGAACTCCATTACTTGGTGTTTTTACATTGCATTGTAAATGCTTTTTTGATGGTTCAAGATAATCCTACATAGTTACTTATTTTACAATTACGCAAATCATGACGTTAATATTGTAAATTAATCTCTCTATATATTTTTATTATAAACGTAAAATACGCATAAACAATATAAAACTCCTACAAAAATTTAACATTTACAGTCTTGCAGTATTTAAAAATACAGGGTGTCCCAAAAGTCATTTGCAATCAGGAAATAAAGAGTACCTATGAGTACCTATTCGAAGTATCTTTTTCCTTAGCACAAATGTAATCCGCGCCTTTATTTATGAGTTATTAACGAAAAAAACTGACCAATGAGAGGCGAGCTCAGCTGGCGCGAGGCGGCCGAGTTAACGGCGCCAGCGGTCGAGGCGGTCGAATCCCAGCTCAGGTGGCGCGAGGCGGCCGAGCCAACGGCGCCAACGGTCGAGGCGGCCGAGCAAACGGCGCCAGCGGTCGAGGCGGTCGACTCCCAGCTCAGCTGGCGCGAGGCGACCGAGCCAATAAGCGGAACTGGGCTTCGTGCGCTGGTTGGCTGGGCCGCCTCGCGTCAGCCGTACTCGATTCTTAAACACATCAGAGATTAAATTACTACAAGACAACAAGCAAGTCGAATATTGTGCCATGTGTTTTGAATGGAGCGTCAGGCGTACGGATGCGCGAAAAGAGTGAGACCGCAAGCACGATAAAGTGATACGGTCGTCACTCTTTGTCTTCGATTATGAGGGCAGCACTGTTCAGCTGTGAATCGTCAGCCAATCAGAGCAAAGCAATTCCTTGACCATTTCTCAATTCAAGAGTCATGTTACCCCCGAATGTGGTTCTTGAATTGAGAGAGGAGAGAGAGAGAGAGAGAGAGAGAGAGATTTTACTGTATATACACGAAACTATAAACATCAGACCGGTTTCTTGTGTTTGGCATCTAGAAAATAACATTAAGAAAACAAATTCAATAACGTTATTCTTTGACAAAGAACTACACCATCATCACAATGAAATATAGTTAACTACCAGACCAAATGTACATGGTACAGTCGCTACAATCAGCTACAATAATGTTTAGGAGGTTATAAAGTTTGTAACTTTTTATTGTGAGTCGTCGTAACTAAGTACATAACATTGTTCTTTTGTAATGTGTAGCGATGTGAATGCAATAGGGTGTGTATGTAGGCACGATGCGGTGCTGTCTGAAACGAAGTTGAATTCTAAAAAATTAAACGTTCGTCGAAGATACGAATCTATGCGATTCCAATCTTTTCCGACGTAATGGCTTTCTGCAGTCCCACGTGTCGAAACATTAATTAGTTCATGCTATGTGTTTAATATCGCGCGATGAAAACTCGTCATTGTTAAATAGGGTGGACGTGCACACATCTAGAACGCGGCCACACGTTTGTTAGAACATTTAGCCGGCCCATAATCAGTAATCGGAGCCTGTTTCAGTAATCTGTCGTTCTGGACCAAGGCAGACTTTGCTTACGAAAGTCAAATGTTACGACCCACACGATCGTTCACGCTTCGTGGCGGTGCTGCGACAGAGGCGAGTTGCTCGTTCGCTTAAAATTCACGGTTCTTCGACCGGTACGACTCTTATATTCCGTGAGTGAATCCTTCGCATCTTTTAAGCAGAAAACAGTGCGTTGTTTACCTATTTTACTCTCGAATAGATTAAAGCATTAAAACTGTATAATGTGTATATATTTGAAATTCTTACTGTAAAAATCGCTTGTAAACGAAGGAATCGACAAATTGCATGGATGCAAAGATAAATTGAGTTTCATGCTAATACTTACGTCAGTTTCACGTGCAGTAATTAACATACGGAGGAAATAGGTCAGTTTTTGTGTTTAAATTGGGAAGAATTTGTACTTGTCTCCGTTAAGCTGGAAAGTACGTGAGAATTAGCGCTGGTTTATTTCTACGTAGTTTTAAGACCTTTTTTCTTTTTATTCTCAGCGAGTGACCTGTTTCGAAATTTCGATGAACGCGCTGATTGTACGACAAGGAGTATTAGGAATTAATATGAGGAACGAAACGCTGTTTTCGATTCTTTGAAACGTCTTTTAACGGGAGTGATTCGTATGAAAGACAAACAAGAGTTTTATTTTTACCGATTTATTACCATCGTCCGCTCATAATGTTCGCGCTTGTCGAATTCTGCGCGTGGCTTTGTTTAATACGTACAATTCATGGTTCGACCTTGACTGAACCTCCGCAATCGGTAGTGGTCGTTGCATTCGAGGATGTCTATGATTTGTCATTATTAGCCAATACTTTGTCGGATGAAGGAATCGACGCGACACTGATCATACCGGAGCAATATCAAAATGATCTCCACGAAAATTTAATCGGAGTGGAACTGGTATTGCTGACTGTCGAAATAACGAAGTCCGCGTATCCTGAGAGCAAAGCGATTCAGATTTGCGAGGCTTTCTTGAAGGACGAGCAAATTGCGAAGAAAATATCCGAAATTCAACCTACATTCGTCGTATTTCCTGGTCTTAGGTGGGTTCTCTTGCCGATGGTCGAAAATCTCCTTGAACATATTTTAGTTGCTAAAAAGCTTTGCTAAAAGATTCACGAGTTGTGCGGTACGAGTGAACTCTTAAATATACATACATATACTTCCGGTCGAGATATCTGGAACATTGTTGTACGCTAATCACGAAGTATTTGTAAATCAACAATGAAAAGTACCAAAAGAGTTGTTAATATTATATAACTAACTGTTGATCGGAGTAGTAAATAAATATAGAAAATAAACAGTGTTATATTTTTATTATTATGGTAATTATGTGGTACTAGAAATGATTGATAAATTGTTTTTATAGGCATGACGGTTGTTTGTTGCCATGGTCAAGAGTTATTCAGTCGATACCAGTGATATGGACGCGGAACCGAGACGAAGAGATCTACGTTTTCGAATATACTGGCACTGCTTTGCCGGTTCAGAGTGCAGGACTTTGGACAAGGCTGCGGACAAGTCTTTCACGGAGGTCGATCTTCTCGACGGCCAGAGACGAGTACACCGCGTATGCTCTCCGGATGGGAGGAAAATACTTGCCAGAGACTGGTTTCAATTTAGACAATCTTTACACGGATGTCCGCCTTATATTATGGGGTGGCGACGTCATCCTACGTTCAGATTTCGCTCCGCTCACGCCGCTGATAGTTGAAGTAAGCGATATGGAAAAACGATTATGCTGTCTAGTCTAGTATTATGGTTTCCTCTTGTTCGATTTGTCCGATCGCAGTGTATACAGAGTGTTTCACTTTCGATCTTGCGAATAATTTTATATTAATCTTTAATTATAAAAATGCTTTGTATATATACAAGGTGTTCCTGAGGTAATTTGAAGTAAGTTTGTCCATGGCGAAAATGCAATCCACGGCTTTGTTTACGAGTTATTAATGAAAAAGAGTGACCAATGAGAGGTGAGATATGCCGGCGCAAGGCGGCCGAGCCAATGAGCGGAACTGGGTTTCGTGCGCTCATTGGCTCGGCCGCCAAGCGCTAAGCGAGCTCGCCTCTCATTGGACAGTGTTTTTCGTTAATAATTCGTAAACGAAGCCACCGGTTGCATTTTCGCTAAGGAAAAAGTTATTTCAAATGATCCCAGGAACTTCTCATTTCCGGTTTGCGAGACATTTTTGGGACACCCTGTATATAGATTTACGAAGTTCAAATGTTTCAGGTTGGCTGTCATCATTGTAGAGCAGCATATCTGCTTCCCGAAAAATTGCACGAATCATTGGTAACGTTCAAATTAGGCACGACTGCGGTTTTCTTGAACGATGGTCATGAGACGATGATTAAGGATATGGCGCGTACGTTGCCTCAAGGCAGGGACGGTTTAGCTGTGGCTTATAAGACCAAGGGATGGCAAAGCTCAAATAACCCGGAGAACCTTTTTATTGCTGCAACGGTTGATCGGCAAGATCTGATAGGTAGAGTAGATTGAGATCTTATAATTTTTGGATAGAATCCTGTTAGGTTCTTGACGGAGTTATCGATAATAATATTCTCATAAACTCGATGCGCTTATTCAATCACTCGCGCATACGTTGCTTCTCATTATTCATATTTGGATTTCGTTACGAGCCTTCTGGATACAGGAAAATGGTGTTGAAAATGATTCCTCGGGTACACATTATAAGTAATTTCATTCAATGACACATGCAGACTGTAAAGCTAAACGTGGTACAAGTAGACATCTGTAAATATGATCGATACAGTTTACGTTCTTAGTTTGAATTAGTTAAACCGTTCCCAATGACCACAAGTTACCAAAGACCTTGCACCGATTCAGGAGCTTCGATTGAGCCTTGCAGGATACAATCAAGTTTTATATTATAAAGCTTACGAAACTATTTGGATACGTAAGGACAATGGGTGCTCCACAGAAAGCAAAATTGATTAAATCTCGCCGCTCAATTCGGTTTAACATCGGTTGTATAAATAGGCGTCGGTGGTCGATTAATTTTACCATTATGTTGCAGGTAACGCGCGCGCGAAGGTGGTATTAAGTCATTGCGCCGATACCGAACTTCTAGAATGCGGCTTCCATGGGACTCCGGTGATATGTTTTCCAAGGAACGTACATGAATCCAAGAACGCTGCTCGCGCGGTGCATTTAGGTTTCGCGCGTTCTGTAGAGGATATTCGCGCCATCTCTGGTACAGAGCTAGCAAACATGGTGATGCAGATGCATCTGACAATGGATTACCGGGAGAACGCGCGGAGAGTGTCCGTGGCTATCCGCGACAGGATAAATCCAGCTGTAGACAGACTGACTTATTGGCTCCGTTACACGGCTCGGGCCAAGGATCGAAACTTGGAGTTTTTGACGTCGATCAGCCCGGCGAGAACGCCTAACGAGGACCTGCAATTTTTGCTTGGCTTATTCGCGGGCTGCATAGTGGGGATTTGCGTGACCGTTGGTTGCATGTTGACGTGGTATCTCTTTACGTCGAAGAGGGCGCAACTATCGAAAGGACGGTACACTCAGTAAAAAATATTCTGCCGAGATCCTCTCAAGAAGCTTGGCACGTACAGGAGTTTGCAGTATACATACACTGAAATGAAAATCCGTGTCACGCAACACGATATGCTGATCCTCTAACGGTATGAAACATATGACATTGTTGGACCACCCGTGTTTAAGAACATTGATGCGAATTAGAAAATTCCCTCTCTATAGGAGCGTGGAGCGCGACTGATACAACGATCATAAAGAGTTGTAAAAGACTCCTGAAATTCGCACATAGGTGGTAATCGCAAGTCTGATGCGATAGGTATTGGATGGACACCTACTCCGACTATGAGCGTATTTCAGAGGTTTTCTTTGGAAAGGCCAAATGTAGCAAAATTGAAAACAAGATAGCTAGTCTCATGGTAATGTGACCGAGAGGTCTTTTTCACTACTCTCTATGCTTACGTTGGCAATTCCATACTAGAGGGAACTCTGTACATTCAAAGGGGGTATTCTGGTTCAGACCAGACATTTTCTATATCGACAAACGCGAATGTATTTTATAAACAGACAATTGATCCAGTTTTTCCAATGCCGTTTGGCAAACATTTTCTAGTCTATAAGGATCGAAAAAGATCAATTTCGTGATTTGGGAAATCCAGAATGCCCTCTTCTCACCCACCGACTCAAGGTGCTTGAAATTTTCTTAAACGTTTAATATCGGCTACATCTAATTTTCATTTTTATTATTGGGATAGCATCGTAATAAGTTTGTTCTCCAAGCTATGGGGCACAACCTACATCTCGCCCGTGGTTCCGGCTAGAACGGAAGTGGTTAAATACGGACACTTTTCGCATATGTATTTATATAAATGCACGTAGAGTACAGGTACATACAAATACAAATGTTACGAGCTAGGGTGTTATCGCATTGCTAATGAAGAGACGTAACTATTACGAGAATACTTGATCGTTAAGATTGATTGATCGGAAGAAAAGCTAGAAAGTACAATGTAGCGATGTGAGGAAAAATAAATTACAAAATTTTCACAATACTGCGCTCTGTATGTCGTCGTTGTCGCACGAGTGCTCGCTCGTGTGCGTTTATCGCTAGATCCTTACAACGTACGGACGAATCTGTACCTACGATTAATAATCCTTCTTTATTCCTTCTTCGTCTTCGTCTTCGTCTTCTTCTTCTTCTTCTTCTTCATTTTTTTTTCGTTTTCTTTTCTAAGGCCATATTCTTCGATCAGATTAGCCGTTCATGGTCATCCGAGCGATGACAATTGGCGCTTAGTATACAATTCGTTTGTGTGTATCGTGTTTCGTCGATCGTCACGTGACCCGTGCGATACATTTACTGGTTACTCGATCGTAGAAAAATCATTCTCGATCGAAGCGATCTACGACAATAGATGTAGTTATAAAATAAATCGATCTCCGCGTAAGAAATTGATTTCCGCTTATAGGGGTGGGGGGGGGGGCGTAAAAAAAAACGTGCGTCCTGCATTAAAAAGACGGTCGATAGTATACATTATTTAAAAGAAAAGAGAAAGAAAAATAGGAGAGAAAAAAAATGTAGAAAACAAAGAATAAAATTCGTGATCTAAATTGAAAACGAAAAGCATGATCGTATGGAGACATCCGAGCTACAATGAATTCGGATTTCGTAATTGACTAGACAGTGGCTTCAATCGGCTTAGCTTCTGCGACGAAACGTAATAAGTGCTGGGACTCAACACCGAAATTCTATCGATGTCTTTAATTATACTTCCTCAAGGTCGTTCGAAGACGTAAAATATTATTACGTTTTTTCAAACCATTGGACAATTATCCATGCTGTCGAATACATATGTCTAGGGACTATTCAAACACGACGCTTCACACGACCTCGGGAATTACATTAAATAAAATTCTACTTAATATATATATATACTATCGTATTTACACCCTTGAACGGTCCGGTTCTTTCCTTTCCCAGGGTTCGCGTGTCTACGGGACCGATAGAGATGCTCGACGAGTTCCATTCGTCGCGACTCATCTTGTAAATCGCGGATTAAATAATAGTATCCATTCGCTACTCGACACACCTGTTGTCTTAAAGTATTTTCTTATTTTAAGTTATATTTCGGAAGAGGCTGTAATTTCTGTCTCGGCGAAAGTCCCCGCAGAGTCCGTTAGAGTCGCGAATGGAAACTCGGCGAAAAAATGATCAATCGGATGTGACGATGGAAAAGATCGAGACCTGGAAAACGCAGGAGCGATCAATTCTTTAGAGCTCCGGGGTTCCGTCCTCTCTTCCTCTCTCTCTCTCTCTCTCTCTCTCTCTCTCTCTCTCTCTCTCTTTTTCGCATTCGTTCTTTTTCTCCCACAATGTCTCGACGTAGCTTGATCGATCCGTGTATATGCTTATCTATGGGTTCCATTGAAATCACTGACACGGTTTACACCGACGCTCTTTTAACCAACAGATGTTCACCGGGACGAATCCATGGCACGGTAAACCTGACAAAATCGATGGACGAAAGATCATACCGCGGCGTTTGTATTTGTTACAAGTGGTAACGGAGAGTCGTGACCGGACAAACAAGTCATCGATAGCCCAGCTCTACAGCGTCTTTGTTTCCAGTAAAATTGTCTACTTTTCGGTGTCACTAAAATTGTCAGAAAAGGAAAAAAAGTACCCATTTTGCGTACGCTTTGACAAAATCTACAAATCACAAAAGATAGATAAACGCTTGCGAAACAGTCGAGCCGAAACCAACGAAAAAGAAACGGGCTTTATATGCTTGAAAAGAAGAGAATTCCTTCACAAAAATGAGATCTAATTTCCACAAGAAAAACGACACCGTGGCTCGCGTGTCACGAGCCTGTGAAAAAGGGTGGATTTTCCCTTGAAGGAGAAAAGTCCTTGATAAGAGAGCGTCGGTGAAACCAGTGTCAACAATGTCCACGCAACCGGCTTATCTATATACAGCGCGACAGTCGTGTGCACGTAAAATCTACAAAAACGGAAAATAATTAAAGAAAGAAAGAAAAGGAATACGTTAAGAAGACAGTATATACAGTCATTGGCAGAATTGTTTCCCATTCGAGCGACTCGAGGCGAACTGCCGACAGCGGATACACGCGTCGTATCGCTTGCACGGCCTCCTTTTTCCCCTCCTACCCCCCCGGTCTTCGTCTTTCTCCCTTTTCTTTGTTTTTTTCTCCGGTTATTTTTTCATCTCCTTTTCACCTCGCCTCGACGTGGACTGACTCTCGCTTTCGTAGTCCGTCTCGCTCCTCGTAACTCGCATTGTTCGCCGGAACACGGCCGATATAAGCGAGTCGCGGTACAGTGGATCGCGAAAGTATTCTAACGCATCGGGGCGAAATTTTGTTGACAAACTTATCCGGGACCGTGCGAAGCAACGTCTTCGTTGTGCGACGATATCGTTCGTTCGACAGCTTCGGGGTGGACTCGGCTTAAACTGGATGCCTCGCGATGGTCGCTCGTCTTCGCGCGCAATCTACGGCAATGTTTCCCTTACTGACGTTCAGATTGTCCAGAAAAATGGACAATTTGGGAAGAGGAGATACGATTACTCGATCCTTGCGGTTCATATTTATAGCCACAAATTGTCAACAACTATAAAAACGAGCTGCGAGGCTGCAAGAATAATCGTATCTTCTCTTCCCAAATTGTCCATTTTCGTGCAGAATCTTAGCGTCAATTAGAGAGACATTACTGTACCTCTTTCCCGGTCTCTTCTCTGTCGCTCGACAGAAAACTAGGACAACATGCTTCCGGGTTTTTTGCCGTCAAAGGGAAACGTATTTGTAATAATTAACATAATTCACGTAGAGATATGTACAAATTAGAAACTATAGACGTCGCTCAAGGTGATTCGACGGAGTCCGTCGTTAGCGATCGGTGGAGGCAGCGCGTATCTAATTCCGAGTAAAAAGGAAATTACGAAAGTCATGCGAGAAAACGGTTTTACTCTTAACCAGACCGGATATCGGCGCTCGAAAAGAAATCCGACACAGATCCCGATCGACGTGTCTCTCGTCGTCATTTCTTTGATTCTCGTCGTTATAAATTACCATATAAATACATATTTAAATTCGTACAAAAATCCACAGTCTATAGCACAAGAATTCTCTCTACCGTTTCGCGTTCCGCGCGATTTATGTGTCTCGAGGAGAAACGAACGACACAGAATCGAATGCTCTCGTCCCGGAGAATGATCTAGCGGAGCCGACGCTGGGCTCGGTCTCGGAGCTTTTCCGTGACCGGTAGCGCGAGCACTTTTGCGAGCCACTGTAGGTGCTCCATATTCAGGCGAAGACAAGGTGGTTTCTACGCGCTAGAGAGAGCGTCGGTATTACAATGAGATACCTACACATCGTTCTCAGGTCTTTTAACTCCGATATATAAATAAGACTCTCGCAGCCGTACGCGAACGTCGCGAGCGCGTAACGGAAACGAACGAAGAATGGTCGTCGAGTGGCCTAATATTCACGCCTATATTACTCTATCCCATGCTCTCCGCTCCTCAGTCGCTCGCTTATCCGGACATTCGATCTCTCGTCCACACGAAATACGCGCACACGCGCACGCACACGCACACAGAACACACACTCTCTCTCTCTCTCTTTCTCTCTCTCTCTCTCTCTCTCTCTCGCCTCCTCTATCTTTCTCTCGCGTCAGCAGAAAACCGCAAATTATTAACATATTGAGTTACAACGTGGGGACACGACAGCCAGAGAAAACAAAAAAGCGTACGCGCGAGATACGAGCGCGTACAAATTCGTCGTGAACGGGGGCACGGGATCGTGCGGGCAACGATATCGTGTGCGCCGCGAGAATGTTTTGTCGCCGCCGCCGCGCCGGTAACGCGACACCGGCCGCCATTTTGGTGAACGCGCGCGACATCCGGTAACGATCTATCTCGTCGGTCTTTACCGGCTGCTCCTCAATATGCTAACATTCGCGTAAATAATGGTGCACCTGAGAGCCAGACTAGCATTATAAGCCACGTAACTGCAACTTCACAGACACAATCGTACCTTGCTATTACGATATTAATACTGAAACGAGTCGACACAGTTTTGCTGGGGGAGCGAATTTCACTTCTTCGGTCGCGTCCCCGCGTGGCCTCGGCGGTTCGTCTTCGCCGCGTCTTCGTTGTTTCGTCCGACGGTTTGGCAACGAGCTCGTCGAGGTTTAGCGAAGTTTCGAAGAAACCGCGCGTTCGAATTATTATATTATCACTTTAATGGCACAGCATGCGTTAAGATGCTTTAATAATTATGTAGGCGATTGCTTTAATAATTATCGCACGAAGGAAAGCTATTAAATTTGTTGTATCAGATGTGTTGTTATCGTTGTTCTTCTTTCTTTGATTTATGTGTATGACCGCACACGTTGAATCATTTCATGAATTTACGTAAATATTGCCGTCGCCCCGCTCGCGACGTTTGTCTGCGTAGACGTGCGGCCATTAAAGTGTTAATGTGACCAAAGACCAAAATTCTGGTCCAAATGTCCTCTAATCTCATTTCCATTTGATCTGTTGTCAACATTTTCCAAATACAGTAATGTCTCCCTTACTGACGCTTAAATTGTCCACTAAAATGGATAATTTTGGAAGAGGAAATACCATTATTCGAGCCTTGCGCCTTGTTTTTATAGTTGTTTAGAATTGGTAATTATAAAAACGAGGCGCAAGACTTAAATTAATCGTATCTCCTCTTCCCAAATTGTCCATTTTTGTGGACAATCTGAGCGTCAATTAGAGAGACATTACTGTACTTTGCGAATTTTTTACCCCGTTTTAGGTTTAGAATCGAATCCGATGCATTCTCCTCTTTGTTTTGAATTTCAAAGTACAGTAATGTCTCCCTAATTGACGGACAAATTGTCCACAAAAATGGACAATTTTGGAAAAAGAGACACGATTATTCGAGCCTTGTGGCTCGTTTTTTCATGGTTATCAATTGTCAAGAACTATAAAAACGAGTTGCAAGGCTCGAATAATCGTGTCTCCTCTTTCCAAGTTGTCCATTTTCGTGCCGAATCTGAGCGTCAATAAGGGAGACATTATTGTATTGGTCGAATATACATATACGATGCAACGCGACGAAACAATTAACAACGAGTAACTGTCTACGCAAAGTAAAAAATAAGAACGCCTCGGTTCATCGGCAACGTTCCGATACTTGGTCGTGTTACTTAAAAATGTTTTAAAACCTGCCAGGAGTATAGTAATGTCTCCCTAACTGACGCTTAGATTGTGCAAAAAAGTGGACAATGTGGGAACAGGAGACACGATTATTCCGGCTTTGCACCATGTTTTTATAATCGTTGACAATCGGTAGCCTCCTCCCAAATCGTCCATTTTTGTGGACAATCCGAGCGTCAATTAGAGAGACATTACCGTAGTTGCCAAATTTGACAATCTCCGAACGAAGGTTTCGAGAAGCGCGCATTTCCGAGCTCCGCGGTGAAGCGACTCAGGCGAACCGAGAAACCGGCGTTGTTCGGCCGGGTGTCCTGGGAGGGTGTCCGACCCAGGACGACCTCGTGGGTCCGTTGGCAACGGAAACAAGGAAGACGATCGGTGGTCGTGTTGGGACCGCCCCGCGGAGCACGACCGTATGCCAAGATATGTTCCTCTAACCGTCTGAAAACTACGCGTAAAGTCACCGTTGCCGAAGAGTGGACTTACGACACTCTGACTGTCAGGTACAGAATGTTCTAACGTAACGTGTCACACTTTGTAGCCTCTCGCGGCGGTTTTACGGCCCCGTGGCCGACCCCCCGTGAGATGGGAGGGGGCCGGCCGGCCAGGCCGGGCTTATGGTTTGAACTTTTAACTTAAAACAGCGTTGGTAGAAGCGTTGGTCTACCCGGCTCCGGTGATCCTCGCGGCGATCTTGATCGCGTCTTGTCGCGCGGCGGGAGGGCGGCGGGGGTTTCAGGGGCGGGGGGGAAGCCTCCCGAGGAATCATCGTCGCGGAAAGATATCTGCCTGGACGCAGAGGGTCGTGAAGCACCTTTCGGTAGGCCGACCGGAATGCAATTGCACCACCTAATTGCAGACGTGCTCCTCGCGCGTGTGCCGGCAGAGCTCGCACTCGACGTTGCAACACCAGACGAACCGGCAGCCGCATTTCTCGGTCACGTCGCGGACTCGCGTCTGGTAGCCCCGGCCGCAGCAAAGAAGACGACATCCGTCCAATCCGAGGGACGTCCGGTTGCATATCCTTCCTCTCGTGCCGGGGATACCGAGCCTGAAATCCAATGAATGTCGGGCCGTTCTTAGCTGTTTACTTTATACCCAGCTGATCCGCTGGGCGGACTTCGTTCGTGTATGGAACACGGTTAATCAGAAAATTGAGCGTACACCATTCAAAACGTAATAACTGTTTTAAAAGTGGATTGAATTTTTTTTTATATTATAGCGGAATTTGTCTACTAGACGGTGATAAAAATGCTTTTTCTTTTTAAATTTTGCTATTACTTGGAATGACAAAAAGGATTTTTTCAAAGTTTTTTAAGTCCTTTATCCGAGCCTATCATGGAAATTTTAGAAATGTCTCTCGTAGATCTCGGTAACTCGTACGCACGCTGAAAATGTTATCGAAATCAATTGACATCGTTACGAGTTACAACAAATTAAAGATGGCCAAATTCGCAGCTTTTGTTGTAATTAATTTTTTGTCAATTTTTGTTATAGGCTCGGGTAAAAAAGTTAAAGAACGAGTTTTTTATTTTCTTTTGTCATCCCGAATAATAGCGAAATTAAAAAGAGGCGTATTAGTTATCGTCTAGTAGACTAGTCCCTCTATCATCAAAATAAAAAAAAATTCAAGTCACTTGGTCCAATTATAAAAAAGTTATTGCGTTTTGAAAGGTCGAAGGTTCAATTTAGTGACTAACTGTACACAGTAGCGGTCAAAAATTTAAGACGACGAATCTCAATTTCATTTATATGGATATCGTGTAACTGGTTTGTCTCGTTTCGAAATCGACAGTCGCGCGTTTCGCTTTTACGCTAAACCCAACGAGCCCTAAAACTAACTGTTGCTTTATAAACGTGAAAATATTATTTATTCAGACCTCTCGTCATTTTTATCGTAACTTATCGTGCTTGGATCGAGAGGTTCGTTCAATCGTTTTCTACGAAAAAGGGTTTTTTTTAATTTCAGCAAGTTTGAAACGAAACATGCGTAATCACTACACCGCGGATCTTTACGCAAAATAAAAACTGTTCACACTCAATTACAGCGAACAGAAGTTAAACTTATTATTATTAAAAGTTAAACTTATTTATAAACGTATTTCTTCTCTGAAAAGTTTGAATAAATTAGGGTATACTGCAAGAACATTCTCAGATTTTTCTAGTCTTCGTTGTTTAACCGTTTGACTGCTGAGGAGCGCTATCGCGCTCTTCTTATGTTGTGCCAAAAATGCGAAGAGCGCGATAGCGCTCCTGTGTTTTTTTATGCCAAGACTGCGGAGAGCGTAATAACGCTGCTCTAAATCACTCGAATTTGTGCTTATTACCAATTTTATTCACAAAATTAATTAAAACGAATTTATATAAATAAGTGGTATTTTTTAATTTTTGTCGTTGCACAGAAATACAAGCGAGTTTATCGTGTGAAAAGTGTTTTACAGCAGCCAAACGGTTAATATATCACTTGTTCGATATTAGCGTAAATCCATAGAATCCGCGGTCTATCAGTCACAGTTGTTTCTATGTTTCAGTGACTTTAGTTCACGACGATCTGCCCAGCGAGAAACACTGTACGAATTCGTTTGTTATTTTAGATTCGAGTTCCACTTATCGAGCAGTAAATCTACGAGTAAATCTACGAGTAAATCTACGAGTAAATCTCTGAATTTACCGCTCAACGAAAGGGAGCAAGACGTAAAACCACGTAACCAGAGGAAGGCATTTGCTGAACTAGCATCTGTCGTTAACAAATCGGAAACTGCATTCGTTTCGTCTCAATCTTCGTTGTCCGCTACTGCATACGCTGAAGGATTAGCAACCGAGCTGATTAAAGAACAGATCCAATAGCAACATCTTTCGCAATACAAACTCTACTTGCAGCTAAAAAGTTAAGCGCAGATCTTAGATATGGTTCTTTTGTTTGACGCCGGCATAATAGCTTGGAAATTTTAGATTTTAAAAAGAATTTCGAAGATGGCGGTAATATAAATTCCTAAAATTAAGATATGTCATCCAAGTATCTCTTTGTACTTAATTCTTAGTTAAATAAGCACAATGCTATAGTTAGTTTGCTGCCTTTTAACACCCAAGAAATATAGCTCAAATGTTATTTCGGTTTTTTAAAATGGCACCAAAGTGGTACCACCGGCATACAACAGATAGTTTTTGCATGGCACCAGCGTGGTGCAACCGGACGGCATAGTGTTAAGGTAAGATTTGGCTAGTTCTCGTCTCCGGACGAAACCGTCGCCCGGCTTTCGAACGCGAATCAGGCGACACGCGGGTTAAGACAGACCGGAGGATAAAAGATCGGCGGATGCCTCACGTGATGTTTTTCTCGCAGTAGTCCGGACTGTCCTCGAGGTACACAAGGTCGGTCTTGTTCGGTCGCTTCAGGTCCGGACGAGCTGGCCTCAGTCTCGCCGCTCTTCTTCCGCCGCGTTGCGCCAGTCGTACCAGAGCTGCGCCTTCGTGCAACGCTGCCAGAGCCGCACCGGCCACCCTGAACGCTGGCAGTCGTCTCCAGCAGACGCGGACGCTGCACGAACCCGACATACCTGTGGAAGTAGAAAATTCCGGGCCGGTCAATACGCGGCAGCCGCGACCAGCTCGAACGGAAACTTCGAATCCGTCGAAGACGAACCTCGCTGGACACGGTTGCGACGATGCCAGGATATTAGCGGATAAGACCGAGGACTGAGGAGCCCCCTACTTTCAGGGAGGCCTAACGAGATTTTAGGAGCTCTCTGGATGCCTCAAAGATATTTTTTTTATTGTATATAAGCTTTAGGCCATGTCCGGCCGATAAGAAAGGATGTCGAAGGTTCAGCCGGAGCATGGAAACTTTTAACCCTTAGCGCTCCGTTGGCTCCGCTATGGAGACATCCGTAATTTGTTTCGTAAATCCGAAGACTCTGCTGCGGAGCTCAATGTTTTTAGTACGATTACACCGAAGATGCTTGTTTTTGTCGACGTTGGCAATTGTTATTTGTAGCGAAAACGTGCTTAGCGTGTGTACCAATACGATTGAAACAGTTTTTGCCCATTTTTATACTTAGCAACATAGAATGAATAAAATCAAACGCTTACGCAAGGACGTGTAATCTTTTCCGCTCAAAATGAGACTTCCTTTATCTCGGGCGCTTTGCTCCGAAAATGTGCCGGAATTGCTGGTAGTGATATTTTTCAGAAAAACGCTGTTCAACTTTATTTTAGAACGTCCGAAGAATATTTAGTAATTTTTAATTTAATTTAATTATTAATCGAGCCGATTCCAGCGAAGATTAACGATAACAAAATTCCGGCAAACTTACGCAAAAGATATTTTTGTTTCGATAATTCCGTATCCGAACAGAATTCAACGGTCGATTCGCGATGCTAATTTTATAATAAATCGCGTCAAAGAACACGAGGGATATATTTATTTAAGAATTGCGAAGAATATCGTTAATAGTAAATTTACCCGTTTCGATGAGGATGCATTTGCTGCTTGGAAATTTCGGTCACGATTCACGATGTCGATGCACCGACCTCGCGCAATGTTAAGTAGATACCATTACGATTAAAACATTTTCTGCCCATTTTTATACTTAGCAACATAAAATGAATAAAATCGAACGCTTTCGCAAGGACGTGCAATCTTTTCCGCACAAAATAAGACTTCCTTTATCTCCAAAAATGTGCCGGAGTTGCTGGTAGGTAGTACTCGAGAAACGCGTGGAGCGCTAAGGGTTAAGGATAACCTTGGGTAACCTTGGAATCCTTCGAACCTCGCGATGTCATTGAAAGCGTCCATGGATTACTCGAACGTCTCAAAAGTCTTGTAACACGTCCGTCGGTCCTATTAGGCTATAGATTTTAGAAAAAAGCTCTCCGGATGTCTCAAAGATGTTTTTTTATTCTATATAAGCTTTAAGCCATGTTCGGCCGATAAGCAAGGATGCCAAAGGTTCAGCCGGAGCATGGAAACTTTTAAGGATAATCTTGGTAACTTTGGAATCCTTCGAACCTCGCGATATCATTGGAAGCATCCATGGATTACTCAAACGTCTCAAAAGTCTTGTAACACGTCCGTCGGTCCTATTAGACTATAGATTTTAGAAAAAAGCTCTCCGGATGTCGCAAAGATGTTTTTTTATTCTATATAAGCTTTAAGCCATGTTCGGCCGATAAGCAAGGATGCCAAAGGTTCAGCCGGAGCATGGAAACTTTTAAGGATAATCTTGGTAACTTTGGAATCCTTCGAACCTCGCGATATCATTGGAAGCATCCACGGATTACTCAAACGTCTCAAAAGTCTTGTAACGTGTCCGTCGATCCTACGTTCAAAAAAGTCTCCCATTTGACCCCGCAACTATACAGTAATGTCTCTCTAATTGACGCTCAGAGTGTCCACAGAAATGGACAATTTGAGAACGGGAGATACGATTATACGATTTCTGCGATTCATTTTTACAGCTACGAATTTCCAACAATTATAAAAACGAGCCGCAAGGCTCGAATAATCGTATCATTTGTTTGGTCGAACCTCTGAGCACAGTAATTTCTTTCGCGTCGTCGTTCAGCTTGGAAATGAAAATGGACAATAGCTTGGAAGTGATCGAGCCGCGGGTTTGCGATGCCATTGGAAGTGTCCACGAATGACTCGAACGTTTCAAAAGTCTTGTAACGTGACCGTCGGTCCTACGTCCAAAAAAGTCTCCCATTTGACCCCGCAACGATACTTCGAGGTCTTCCACGACTCCGGTAACAGACGAACGCCGCGACAGCTGGTATCGTACGATTCATTTCCATCGGATGTCCTGTATTCGAGGCTCGAATCCTATCATTTGTTCGATGTTCGAACCTCCGAGCACAGTAATTTCTCTCGCGTCGTCGCTCGGCTTGGAAACGAAAACGGACAACAGCTTGGGAATCGTCGCGGGTTAACGAGCCGCGAGGCTCGGATAATCGTGTCTGCTCGTCCCAAGTTCAGCATTTTCGTTCGCAAGCATAGGGACAACGTGAGAGAAGTTACTGTACCGTGTCCGAGCGGTCCGGTGTAGGAGGAATCGCCTTCGAAGGGGGCTGTTCGACCGTCACCGTCCTGTCTCTTCCGTGTCGTCGACCGAGAGAATATAAAAGCGCGTTATCCGTTTGTCACCGGACACGAGCTGGATGCTCCTTTGTTTTCGAGAGACACGCGAAGATGTCCCGGAGGACATCTATCTGTCCACGGATCCGGCGCGCGCGCGCGCGCGCGGTTCGAAAAAGGGTGACAGAGAAGAGTGGGGGTGGGATATAGGCGAGGTCCTAAGTCGTTAAGCGGGCAGAGTGAAAAATAAGAGAGCAGATAGCGGGGCAGGGCCGTTATCTGCGGGATGCATTAATGGCTCACCGTGACACTTGCACACGCGTTGCATTCTCGAGCGGACGGCGCGCCTGCCAGCTTCGCTATCGTGCTTCCTCATCAGCTGGCCAGCCAGCCCTTTCGGCCCGTGCAGGACACCGTCTTTCACCGGCTCCTCGCCGCCGTCGGACCACTCTCGCGAAAACTTCTCGCCGAAGTGTATGTCCTGCGCAGAAAACGAGGACCATCGTGATACCGAGCCAACCGCAGGACAAAAATGCGCCGCGCCACGGCCGAACGGTTCTCACGATCGCGGCGCGCACAGCAAATCGAGGCGGTTCTTCTTTCGTTTCGTCTTTGCGACGACCGTGCGGCCTGCGAATACTTAATCGGTCCTCCTAGAAGCAACCACCCGGGCTTCTTCCTGATCGGCCGAAACGGAGGAACGACCGATGCTGATTACGACGATTTCGTTGTCCGAAGCATTCTCGACGACATCGGCAACCCCTGCTCTCTCTCTCTCTCTCTCTTAACCCTTTGCACTCGAAGCCGTTTTAAAACTGTAAATCTAAAATGATTTTTCTGACCTACGCTGTCTCTGTTTTATACGACAGAGCGCATTTTATGCGTGCGAAATCGAGTCTTGCGACTTATACAACAGTTTATACTTTTAACAATTTTTCAAATCTAAATTTAACCTTGATGTAAGAATTGTTTTGGAATGCGATATAAACATTTTTTAGCGGCGTCTCGGGGTCACCACTCGAGCGCGAAGGGTTTCAATAATTATGTAGGCGATTGCTTTAATAATTACCACATAAAGGAAAAATATTAAATTTGTTGTATTAAAAGCCTTTGCAGTCGGAGGTATTATATAGACATTTTTTAATGGTGTCTCGGTGTCACCACTCGAGCGCGAAGGGTTCTAATAATTATGTAGACGATTGCTTTAATAATTACCACATAAAGGAAAAATATTAAATTTGTTGTATTAAAAGCCTTTGCAGTCCGAGGTACTTTAATACGAAATCTAAAAGATGCTTTCTGATCTGCAGTATTTTTATTTTACACGATTCGGTGCAGTTTGTGGATCTGAAATTCTGCCCATTGACAAGTACAATAATTGCAATTTTAACAGTTTTTTAAATACAACGAATCTGGTATTGTTACAATTATTGAATTGAAAAATGGTGTAACAATTTTTAGTGGCGCCTCAGACTCGCCGCTCGAGTGCAAAGGGTTAATCCTCTCTTTTCGATCCGATCGCAAACGTCGACTGTCTCCTAGCTTCTCGTTGCGCGATTAAACCCTCGACGCCGTATAAGAAAACCTAGGTGCGCCGAAATTAACGCGTCACAATTATATCGCATGTTAACCCTTTGAACTCGAAGCTGTTTTAACTTTAAGACTGAGATATTTCTTCCAATGTTGTATTATTTTTGTATTGTTTGCATATGAAAGTCGGTNATATAAACATTTTTTAGCGGCGTCTCGGGGTCACCACTCGAGCGCGAAGGGTTTCAATAATTATGTAGGCGATTGCTTTAATAATTACCACATAAAGGAAAAATATTAAATTTGTTGTATTAAAAGCCTTTGCAGTCGGAGGTATTATATAGACATTTTTTAATGGTGTCTCGGTGTCACCACTCGAGCGCGAAGGGTTCTAATAATTATGTAGACGATTGCTTTAATAATTACCACATAAAGGAAAAATATTAAATTTGTTGTATTAAAAGCCTTTGCAGTCCGAGGTACTTTAATACGAAATCTAAAAGATGCTTTCTGATCTGCAGTATTTTTATTTTACACGATTCGGTGCAGTTTGTGGATCTGAAATTCTGCCCATTGACAAGTACAATAATTGCAATTTTAACAGTTTTTTAAATACAACGAATCTGGTATTGTTACAATTATTGAATTGAAAAATGGTGTAACAATTTTTAGTGGCGCCTCAGACTCGCCGCTCGAGTGCAAAGGGTTAATCCTCTCTTTTCGATCCGATCGCAAACGTCGACTGTCTCCTAGCTTCTCGTTGCGCGATTAAACCCTCGACGCCGTATAAGAAAACCTAGGTGCGCCGAAATTAACGCGTCACAATTATATCGCATGTTAACCCTTTGAACTCGAAGCTGTTTTAACTTTAAGACTGAGATATTTCTTCCAATGTTGTATTATTTTTGTATTGTTTGCATATGAAAGTCGGTTTACTCGCTCGTACCAATAACTACACTTTTAATAATTCTTTCAATGTAAACAAATTTATACAATTATATTACATATTAAATTTATATATTAATATATATAAATATTATATAGTAATTTCTAGCGGCGCCTCAGACTCGCCATTCGAGTGCAAAGGGTTAATAAGTAGTACCTTATAATTTTTTATTAACCCCTTGCACTCGAGTGGTGACTCTGAGGCACCGCTAAAAAATTGTTGCATCACGTTCCAAAATAATATTTATATTATCGAAGCTTAGATATAAGAGTTACAAGACTCGATTTCGTATGCATGAAATACACTTTGTCGTATAAAATGGGAATACTATAAATCGGAAAAGTTGATTTAGATTTACAGTTAAAATGGCTTCGAGTGCAAAGGGTTAATAGATTTATGCGACTGATAAGGTTACGTTGATGTTAAAAAAAGTTTACGTTATAATGCTAATCTTATTAAGATCTGTTAGAAATGCAGGTAGGTACAGTAAATTCTCCCTAATTGACGCTCAGATTGTACACAAAAGTGGACAAAAGTGGAAATATTAGTTATATATTTCATAGTTGCTATTATATTTTATTATATTTTATAGTTACCGGTTGTCAACGACTATAAAAACGAGCCGCAAGGTTCGAATAATCATCCACTTTTGCAAAAAATTTGAGCGCCAATTGCGGAGAATTTACCGTATTTCGTGCGGATGCCGTCGTCGAGGGATTAATATACACCTGTAACGGGGAAAGCTGAACATCGATTTAGCAAATTATAATATTTCCCTCCATTGTGTCTCGCCGGACACAAGCCTCTCCATACGTGGCAGTAATGGACCAGCGTCGAACAGCACGTACCGTAGGTGAAAACGTTAATCAGAAGGAAATCTGAAAATAAACGATTTATTCATCAAACTCGCAGTCGTAATCGGCGATTTGCTCGCAGACAGCGGGAAATGTGTGTTCTGATCACAGGTGCTCGGTCGCATTCCGCGAGAATCCTGTAATTATGAATCGCTGTAGAAAAAGTGGACAAAGGCGTGTGCGTGCATCGAACACCGTAATCCAAGAGGACGAAGAGAAAACCAGGCGGCCGAGGAAAAAAAATGGAGAAAAAGACGGGAGGCAGGGAGGAACAAGAAGCCAGCGTGAGAAAAGACAACAGAGGTACAGGCTGTCTTCGGGGGAGGGCGGCGAGGGGACCGGGGAGAGGGAAGACGTAAAGGAGGGAAAGCAGAAAAAGAGAAGGAAAGATAGGCGTCCGGGACACGTGCTCGTGGAAGTCACGTGGAAAACGTCGGGGAAAGCGGCGTGTATCGCGTTCGGGATTACGGCGAGCCGCGGACCCGCCATTTTTGCGGTTCGGGGGCCGTGTATCCAGTTTCCGTGGCGTCGACAGCCACCGTGTGACTCCTTAACGAGGGTGATCCCCTGGGACAAATGTCTCCGTCCGGGCCAGCCGACAGATTCTGAAGATAATGATGTTTACCGAGTCTCTCTCTCTCTCTCTCTCTCTCTCTCTCTCTGTCTCACTGTCTCTCCTGTCCCAGCCAACCCGGACCAGGTCTAACGAATGGAAGTCCCGTAACGATAGTCGATAAGTCCGCATACACCGCGTCCACCTTTGAAATCGTTTACACGCCCGTGACCGATTCGAGCTGACAATGAGACTGATTGGGAGACGGGATGAACGAACCTTCGGCTCCTGACAATCTCAGCAAGAATTTGGGAAACGACAAAGGTGGGTCGTTCAGGGACCGATCGGTGCATCTCCGGGGTGCATCGTCGTTCATGGAATTTGTAGTTCGTTTCTCGCGCGATCCATTTAAGGGTTGCAGGTTTGCTCTTCGTTCGTTCGAAAGTTTTACGGTTTTCTTTTTCTTACGGGAAGATGAAGATGGCGCGCGAGGGTTGAAAAATTTGCTGGTATGTTCTCCGGAGTGAAAATTCGTTCTTTCTGGTTTCGCCGCGAGATAGGGAGTGAACAGCAAGGCGTTTATGTTCACATTGGTGAATTAGATTACTAGTCAAATTAAAGCATTACATTTCGACATTACATTACATCACATTTCGACACAAAATAAAGCAAATAAACGACAGAAAGACATCTCGTTGAACATTCTACCGGACGCTCGGTTAAATTCAAAATCCATTAAAACTGATCGGACCTTCAACCCTCTGAATCTTACTACTTAATTCTACCATAATGAAATATAATATTACAAAAAAGGATTCAGTTTTATCATTTATGCTTGTAGGAAAAGAAAAATCCATACAGTATTATCAATAAGGACAACCGATCGAGAATCATTCTCATCAACGTATCTCGGAGAAAAGAAAAATATTCACAGTGTTGTCGGATGTACCGACTGTCTACGAACTCTAAATTCGATGCAATACCGAAAGGGTTGAATAAAGAAAAATCCATACAGCATTATTAACAAGAACAAAATTGGCCGAGAATTATTCTCAACGTATCTCGGAGAAAATAAGTATATTCACAGTGTTGTCGGATGTACCGACAGTCTATGAACTCTAAATTCGATGCAATACCGAAAGGGTCAAATAGAGAAACTCTGGAACGAACGCGGGAAGAACGACGAAATAATCACAGGATTGATGTTTTTTTTCTGTCGGTGTAATTAAAATTTCCACGCGAGGGGTGGTTTCTCGGTCGTCCCTGCGCGTTTACCCTGCTTTATAGATCTTCTCGTTCGGCCGGAGAAACTGTCCGCGCGCGTATTTACGTTCGTGTGCATCGCTAACGTGCGAGTTACGTGGCCGATATGTCCGTGGGGGGTGGCGAGAGGGGTCGCAGGGGGACAGGTGGTGGGCGGGAGGTTGTTGCAACTTAACAAGCTTAGCCCCCGTAATCCCCTTGTAAGCTAGCAATGTCTACAAGGGGTCAGCCGTACGCATGAAATGCATCCGTTTACAGGACGAGCTTTGTCTTCGTCCAGGGTTAAGGTTTACGTCGACCGACCGTGGAGAGATCGAGACGACAAATTGGGGATGCCCCCGTGCAGGGCAGTGCTTCCCCCGCTTGCTTAAGAGGGTCGCGCAGACACGGGAAAACGTACAGCATCTTTAGAACCGTGTTTTTTTTTACTTTCTCCTAATTCGATTCCAACTATCCACTTGCCTTATAATATCGAGGCAAACGAACGTTTCGATCACGATTTATTCGACCCTTTGCAGTACTTCGACGAGTCTGACCGGTGACGGAGATTTTTACTAAGAACATCTGTCGCTGTTATTCCGTGCTTGCACAGATCGGGATAAAATTCTGTTCTGTAAATTCTGTATTTCAACGAGACAGAATTTATTTAAACGTCTCGCGCCACGTTTACTTCAATTATTTTCTACGAGAGCGTCTCTACGATTACAACGATGCTAAAATGCGAGAACGGTCATTTTCACCGTCGTGCGTGAAAATATTAAATAAATTTATTCGATATTTATTAATTAAATAAATATTCTTTTCCCTCGAAAAGAATATTTAGGGAAAGTTTCGATCATTGCAATTGCGAAGAAAACGGTACAAGGGGTTAAACGCGTGCACGTTGTAGAATTAATTGATCTTTTCACCAGTCAAGCGATATAAGAGAACGAAATAAACATCAGATAGTTAATAAATTGAACAAATTCGCAATACAATCAAGTAATGTGTTATACAAGTAGACTGCGAATTTTATGCATTTATCACAAAAATTGGATAGGTCGAATACGAAGCTGCAGCCGCGTTAGAAAATTTTAAGAGCGTTGCTATATTACGTCGAAATCATTGCGATTATTAAAAGATCGTCTGGATTATATTTCTTGCAATTTAACATAGACAATTTTTATTCTTCGTAAAAGTCCGCAGTCTAGTTGCAAAGACGATCGAAGAGGGCTGGCGAAACAATTTGAATAACCGAGGAGAGAATCTTCGATCTTTCTTCTTCCTTCTTGCGGCGCAGCTTGCAACATTCCGGCTAAATAAACAAAATGACGGACTGTAGGATATAAAATAAAAATGTTAAATTAAAATGTTACATAAAATATGTGGAAAACTTTGCTGGTTTCTCTGGTAGTGACACTGAAATATTGACTCGACAAACTGAAATTCGTTCTGGACCTACGGTTAAATTAATAAATTTATATTAATAATTAATAAATTAACCCTTAACGGTCCAATGCCGCCATACACGCCAAATCAAATAAAAATCGTAAAATCTGGCAGGAAACATTGGAAGAATAGGCGCGATTGTTTCGATGAAAATATATCAACGAAGTTTCATTAAAAAAGATGAATATCTCTTCTCTATCTTTGATACAAAAATGTTCAGTAAAAAATTTCTCTTCGTCTGAAAAACAGTCTGGACTTGGCAGTGTGTAAACTGGAAATAAATAGTTTTGGTCCCCTAAGGGTTAATAAAAAAGAAAAACGGTAAAAAGACTTGGGCGGCTATTTGCCGACACTCGTCCGCAAAGGGTTAAGAAGAAGAATAACCGAGGAGAGAATCTTCGGTCTTTCTGCTTCCTTCTTGCGGCGCAGCTTGCAACATTCCGGCGAAATAAACAAAATGGCGGACCGTAGGAACGGGTAAGAACGGCGGTCGAGAGTCGAAGGAACGAGCTCGTTGAAATGCAGAAGCGTATATGGAGATCAAATGACAAGCAAAGGCTTGCAGAGGCTAGTATGAACAGCTTCTGAGAAATAGGTACCAGTTTGTTCTCTTGCATCGGCCGCGCAGGGGTTGGTCCCCCTTAACTCGCGTGGCGTGCGCGCCCACGCACAAACGAAAGGATACTGTTACGCCGTTCGGCTGCCTCACGGCCGGAAAAAGGGGTGAAAATAATCGTCGTTTGTCGGCGGAACGGAATTTCATTAACTCTTCGCGACTATCCGGCCGACGGCAGATTGGACGCGACGCGACGCAACGCGACCAGACGCGACGTTTCTCGCGGGAGGGCTCCCGATTGATTTACGATCGACGCGACAAAGAAGCTGATTAAGAATTCGCGGGCTCCCGTTACGCGACACTCTCGCCACGAAATTGAAATCCCCTCGACGATGGAAGTTCCCTCGGTAATTGAACCGTCTACGACTTCCCGTTTAATTAACAGACGTTGCGCAACAGCCCGAAGAATTCTGCGTGCAGCTCGCGCGCCGGCTTTCCGACGTGTTTCCCGTTGCCAGACTCTGGACATTTCTGCGTTCTCGTGGTTCTCGAATTTAGAAGATTCTTTTGCCGTCATTTTGGCGTAATTGGTATTCTCGTTAGAGTAAGGCGTTTCATGATTTCATGAATTCATGGAGGAATTTGGCTTCGAAAACTATTTCGAACTCGCGACGCGTGGCAATTTATTTTAAAGTTATTTGATGCAGTGTTAAATTATTTGCTTCTTTATTGTCGCAAATGAAAGCACGAGACAGATTTCTGTCAGTACATATGTTAATTATAGTTTATTTTTTAGTTTCTTCTAACGTTACATTTGAGCTTGTCGATGTAAATCAATCCAAGTCAATGCTTACTTTATAACAATCTCTTATGTTGTTATTATATCGACGTTATGTTGTTAATACTTAATTTTCTTTACCAATAGACTGCGACTTTTTATGCAAAATAGAAATTGTCTTCATTAATTACGAAATGTAGGAACTATATAACATTTATCTCCTTTCTTAACAATTTCAATGAGTCGACAGTAGTACGACAGCATTACCAAATTGTTTAAACATTTTTGCTGCTTTGCATCTGACGTTCATTTCTTCCCTTAACAATTCTAACGAGTAGTACGATAACACAAAAAATCGTTCAAATATTTTTACTACCTTGTATTCGATGTTTATTTCCCTTCTTAATAATTTCGACGAATTGAGTATCACAATAATATCTACAAATTAACCGTTTGCACTCGAAGCCGAATTAACGGAAAATTTAAAATATAATTTTCCCGACCCACGATTTTTCCATTTTATACAACCTAGTGCATTTTATGCATATGAAATTGAATATTGTGACCCGTGCAACAGTTACGGCTTTCAACGGCTCTTTAAATATAATCAAATTTTATTAATAAAATTATTTAGAGACGCGACATAACAATCTTTGATCCTCGGAATCGCCACACGAGTGCAAAGGGTGAAATAAATTTTCCTATTTTACATCCGAGCTAGTCGTTTCTGTCAGAGATCTATAAAATCTGCAATCTATTTATTAATTTATCTCAACAGGACACGTCCCGTTCGTCGAAGAGAAGCTACCCCTACATGAACAACACAGAGGGCGAAAACTTTCTCAACATTCGGACAAAAATTTCGCGAGATTGTTTACCGACCGTGCGCCCGTTTAAGAAGCTTAAGCTTGTTATCCGCGGGAAATAAGATTTCGTTGCGGATTTATTCGGATCGGACGGAACGGAGGAGAAAGGGAAGGGAAAGAAGAAGAGGAGGATCAATTGAATCTCGGGGGATGGTGACGGCGGAGGAGACGGGGGCGGAGAATAAGCCCGGCCAAGGAGCGAAGTAATCCTAATTTACGGGGGGCAGTTAGTCGCGTCCTTGTTCTTTCAAGAACAACGGAAATACAAATAGGCGGGTACCGGGGAGTGAAATTACCTCGCTGCAACCGCCCCACTCCCAGTTATTCGGCCGGCGTGTCCTGACCCGGTTGTCGCAGGAGCAATCGGTGAGCTCGCCCCTGGAGCAGGCCCTGGTGACGCTGTAAGCCACCCCCGCCGCTGATATTGCATACACGAACGCTGACTCGCGACTGTCTGCGAACATGCACCAGAAATTTTGTCGCTGCCGAGAAGTTTTTCCATTTTCGTCGACCCGCCGCCCTTAACGGCGCGGGCCGTGATTACGGAACGGAACGGAACCGCACAGACCCTCCGCGTTCCGTCCCCTCCCCTCCCACTATTTTTCCTTTTCCGGGGAATTAGTTTTAATTAAAATTATTTCGGGCTCGCCGCGACGCGACGAGATCCTTTTCCAACCGATCCTTGACAACGTGCTTCGACAGAGCCGCTTTAATCCTTTCACCGATTCTTGCTTCAGCTTCTATTATCTCTGTCCCGTTTGTTCGTCTAAGATTTTCTTCGTTAAATTCGTACGTAATTGAGTTTTGAAATATCTCAACGGCTGAATACGATTTTTATAAATGCAAATAAATATTCTATTGGAATTGATATACTTTTAGTTCTAACGATAAGCTCGAGATAGGCGTTAAACATTATATCTCATCTATGATTTATAAATACTTTATGCAAAAAGGGTTTATTACCCGTTAATATATATATATATAAAATATAAATGTAATATAAATATATTAGTAACATAAATGTATACATTACTGTTATAATTACTGTTTAAGGTTTACGTACAGCGAATAAATCTCATCTGAGATTTGAAAGCTTAATAAAAAAGAAAAAAACCGTGCCGGTCAAAATGACCCACGTATTTTTTGTTCTAGAGTCGTTCTAATTATGAAGACATTTTCACGGGGAATAATTGATTTATCTTAATTCAATCATACATTATTTTAAGTGTAACGCAAAGGTTACGTAAATTCAGACCTATTAATCTTCAAAAACAACACAAATTCGTCGCTTTTAGTGCTCGGCAGGTACGGTGTTGAGAATTCAATAAAATAATCCACTTTATATTTTTTCTTTATTTTACATCTTTTCGGTAACATAAATAAAAATCGAAATAACAGGAATGAACTATTATCTGCAAGCATTTGTGTCGAATAAAATGTGAACGTTCACAAAACAGAAGATTGCGGCTTGTTAAAATAAAAAGAAACGAAGGCACTACTTTGACAGATTATTGAAAACAACGCGTGTGCCTTTCGTTTTCTATTAAAAGTATATTTCTAAAAGTTTCTCTAAAATTTGTCTAAAGTTTCTCTTTATCGATATACCTATTTATCCAAATATAAACAAGTATTATTACGCGAACCAATGGCAAGAAAAAATACACGGAGAAGCGAGCACTCGTAAAATCACGAACTGCGTTGTCTCCGAGACGATCCGACATTCGATCGCAGTCGCGTTAGCTCGGTCGAAGACGACGGCCATCGAGCATCTTCGGTGGCTGTCAGAAGCCCGCACGTTATCAAGGATTCCGGTGGCTTGTCGAAGATTGGTAGAAGCTGCGTGTCTACTTACTGACTAGCATCACGCCGCCGAAAACGTTCTCCGGATTTTCCGGGGTGATGGAACAATTCCATCTGGCTGATCTAAACTGGTGCTGACACTCCTCTATGGCCAATCTCGCGCCCGCGCTGACTGCCTGAAAGTAAAGACCGTGAAAGCCGTGAATGGAAAGGAAAATTGAGTGGCGGGTTTACACGGGGGAACGGTTTACCGGTTTTCTGTTAACTTCGTCGACTGCCAGGCAACGTTGTTCATGAAATAAACAGACTGCTTGGCAAAATAACCGTGCCACGGTACACAACCTCGATTAACCGAACTCGATTTCTCTAGATCTTTGTTATTTAGATTTTTGTTTGCTCCAAATAGCAACGATGGAACTATAAAAGGACCTCGATTTAACCTCGACCTATCGTCTGACGCTATGTTGTGCCAATAATTTATCGAAAATAAAAAGAAATTAGCCATCAATTTGAAATAAACAGACTGCTTGGCAAAATAACCGTGCCACGGTACGCAACCTCGATTAACCGAACTCGATTTCTCTCGATCTTTGTTATTTAGATTTTTGTTTGCTCCAAATAGCAACGATGGAACTATAAAAGGACCTCGATTTAACCTCGACCTATCGTCTGACGCTATGTTGTGCCAATAATTTATCGAAAATAAAAAGAAATTAGCCATCAATTTGAAATAAACAGACTGCTTGGCAAAATAACCGTGCCACGGTACGCAACCTCGATTAACCGAACTCGATTTCTCTCGATCTTTGTTATTTAGATTTTTGTTTGCTCCAAATAGCAACGATGGAACTATAAAAGGACCTCGATTTAACCTCGACCTATCGTCTGACGCTATGTTGTGCCAATAATTTATCGAAAATAAAAAGAAATTAGCCATCAATTTGAAATAAACAGACTGCTTGGCAAAATAACCGTGCCACGGTACGCAACCTCGATTAACCGAACTCGATTTCTCTCGATCTTTGTTATTTAGATTTTTGTTTGCTCCAAATAGCAACGATGGGACTATAAAAGGACCTCGATTTAACCTCGACCTATCGTCTGACGCTATGTTGTGCCAATAATTTATCGAAAATAAAAAGAAATTAGCCATCAATTTGAAATAAACAGACTGCTTGGCAAAATAACCGTGCCACGGTACGCAACCTCGATTAACCGAACTCGATTTCTCTCGATCTTTGTTATTTAGATTTTTGTTTGCTCCAAATAGCAACGATGGGACTATAAAAGGACCTCGATTTAACCTCGACCTATCGTCTGACGCTATGTTGTGCCAATAATTTATCGAAAATAAAAAGAAATTAGCCATCAATTTGAAATAAACAGACTGCTTGGCAAAATAACCGTGCCACGGTACGCAACCTCGATTAACCGAACTCGATTTCTCTAGATCTTTGTTATTTAGATTTTTGTTTGCTCCAAATAGCAACGATGGGACTATAAAAGGACCTCGATTTAACCTCGACCTATCGTCTGACGCTATGTTGTGCCAATAATTTATCGAAAATAACAAGATTAACCATCAATTTTGAATTCGGATACTCGAAGTTCTATCGCATTGCATTTTTCAGACATCGATGAAATTCCTTTCGTTGGAGATAACGAAGATTAATTTTATACGGTTTTTATTATATATGAGGTTTTTAGCGCGGGTAACGTCGTGGCAATCGAAGCGATAACGTTGTTATTTCATGGAACTATACTCGAACGCGACGGTATATCGTCGACGGGAATAGGACGAACGGGCAGGACGCGTTAGGCGCGTCCACAATTATCAAGTTCGTGCGCTTAATATTGAGCTCCGGTTAATTAGATCGGTGTCAGGGAGCAATTATAATGTGTAATCAGTTTCCTCTAACGGAACAATTATGCTAATAGCTATTCGAAATCAATGTTATATCGGCCATTAATATTAATCACGAGCCGCGTGCCTGTGTGTCCATTCGGTAAATAGCTATATGGCCACTGGTATTTATAATGATTTCTCTTGCTGATCGTGACTCGTGAGAAGCTGAACACCTGTGTGTTATTATTTAACTCGAACAAATCGAGTTCAGCCGGAAATTAAAGTTGTGAATACACTTCTTGAGGAAATATATCGAGAATCGAAGTAAAATTGACCAATTTTGGCAACGAAAATAATTATACTGAACGATATATACTGTAACTTCTCCCTAATTTCTCGCTCGTGCACTTTTGGTAGCAACATTAAAAATTTCACCTG